GGTGCACACGAGTACAGACAGGTGCATGTCGTTCTATTAGTCAAAGAATTGCGAAAGCGGTAGAAAATGCCGATACATTCCATATTCTTTTACTCCCACCCAATACTACACATGTTTGAATTTCTATCAAGATTTTAATAATTTACATTCTCTTTCCATGTGGTCAGTTCATATTCATGTTTATTATGATCGGTACGCTTATATTATGAATATATATATGAATATTTATAATAATATATTTGCAGTAACTGCTAATGTATAGATAAACTTCAAAAATGGCCCAAGTGTGTTTTAACACAGATTAGTTTTCTAAGGGATAATATTTGGAATGGCATAAATACAGTAAAAATAATCAAATAGTTTCTTTTTTTTTTTTGGCCAATGCATTATACAGTACTAAAGTTGGTGGTTTTCCCCTTTCTCTGCAAAATCTCGAATATTGAAACCGTTACAGTTTGCAGCAAAGCAAGCAATGGACCTTTTTTTTTTTCTTTTTCTTTTTTTTTTTTTTTTTTTGTTTGTTCACTTTCCAACCTGGATTGAATAGGACAAAAAGTTTTGCAGTCTACCAACCCAAGCAAAGAATGATTCTATTCCAGAAATTTAACACAGTCTATTCAAAATTAGAATGAAAAACACCCCAGATTGGTAAATCTCTTTATTAATCAATATGAATATGGCAATTAATGAGGCGACGTGTCCTGCTCAATGATAAATATGCCACATGTGTGCATGACGGAGCAAAGGAGCGTTTACCTTTATTTAGTTATTTATTCTTCGAATACTGGCAGCTGTCAATTCCGATTGCGTAATATCACATGCTGCGGAAGAATTAAGGCGCACGTATTGTGCAATAACTTTTACAATATTTCAGAGAGATAAAGAGTTTTACTGTACTTGCTAAGCAGATTATTTTTGAGTTCTATTGGGCTATTTTTTATATGATGCACATATCGAAATGTCTAAAGCATTAGTTAGCCGAAAAATCTAAAGAACGCTACAATCTACCCCCCTCCTTCCTATTTTACCAGTTATGCTCGACTATCCGGAATTTTCAGATATTTGGCAATATCCGAGTATCCTGGTTAGTTAAGCTTTTACTGATAAAGTACCTAAACAACTTTTCTTAGAAAAAGGATGACTGCATGAAACATTTCCCGTCTTCTGATTTCAGAAAAGTTCCTTTTTTTTCACCAATTTTTATTTAAATTACTACTTTGCTTGCAATATCTGTTAAGGGAAAACTGTTATACAATGAAAATTTAGAAAACGTTCAGAATTTTGATTTAAGTTAAATTATTTAAATATTAATACGAGTGGAAAAATAAATTATATTTATTTTTAGGTGCCAAGCGAATATAATAAATATGGCTTATTATTTATTTTCTCTATTTTGAACTGAAATTTCATCATTAAAATCTTGTAATATAATTTAGTTCTACATAGGTTTTTTTCCCTCTCATTGTAAACTAGTTCTGTAAATTGAATTGTTATTTAAAATAAAAAAAAAAAGAATGCAATTTTTTTCTATGGTTGAGTAATGCTCATTCTCTCTTAATAAATACTGAATTTCTCATAATTTAAATTGCAAGTCTAATTTTTCTTTTAAGGTTATGCAGTTGTGTATAATGTAATTAGACAGGTGCTTATTTTTTTTCTTAAAATGTGCTAGAAAAGTGCTTATTTTTTTAACTAAAATGTGGCTATGAACCCTGTGTATGTTAGAATTCAAGCTACCAGTATTAGCTGTCTTATACCACTAATAAGTTTTTTTAGTGATGAAAACACACATTCGAGTGATACTTCCAAGCATATAAAATTGTATATGCTTGTAAACCATGTTCTGTGAAGTCTGAATGATGTCTCCATGTAGATTCATTTAAATGCAAACAGCTAAATATGCAAAAATGATTCACCTGTTTTTTTAATAAATGAAGCATTACATATTTATGTCAGATAAGATTTTAACTTTAATTTGTAATAATTTCATCAGCATTTTTAAAGCTTATTATTTCATCTTTGTTTTAAAAATAAATATTCACAATAAATCCTTCTAAAATATATTATCCCAAAATTAATAACCAATCATCCTAGATTTCCAAATAGTTCATTTAATACCCATACTCAGATAACAGCAAAAGTAAAACTGAAGTTTTTTTAAATCAAATAGCATTTAACTGAAACTTTTATAAAGCAAGGCAATAAGCAAATATATCCATCTATTAAAAAATAAGCAACTGCAGAATTCTTAATCTTGTATCAGTAACATAATCTTACTCTTCTCGTGAGTACTTTAATAAAATTAGGATGTAGTCTGCTCTCTCTCCTATTCTGTTGGCAATTACATTATTGTAAATATGTAAAATTTATGCTCAATATTGTGGAATAGCATACATATGTCTTGCTGCCTTATTTTCATTCTACAAATCATGGTTAAATAAGATCTATGAAAGTACCTGCATATTACTGAAGATTACCAGCTTTATCATGTATATCAGACATAAAATTTTAGTATCGATATACATACGCCCCCCCCACTACTTTTTTAATATGTAACTACTACCTTACATTCAGACTTCTAAATTGCCCAGAGTTTTCATTTAGCAATGATTTTTTTAAAAAATATTTGAACTTAACAGACTGAAACATATGCATTAACTGCTTATTTATTTAAAAAATTTACCATACTAATTAGAGGTATATAAATATGTAACTGGTAAAATCTGTATGTGCACGAGAAAAAATTCTGTTCATGGCCTCTTTCATATATTATTAGAAACTCGTAACATTACACATGCTTAACAACAAATAATGAATACAGCCTCCATGGTTATTATACATTTATTTGGCAATATAAAATTTCATCTTTTTGTAATGGTTCATGTAAGTCATAAATAATAAAACTGGTTAAAAAGATACATTTTTGAATGTTATGGTTATTATAATTAAATAACAATAACATAATGAAAAGATTTAAAATATAACTTATGCTACAATATAGTATACTTCTTTAAATGTTAACTACTACAGTGGGGTCTCAGAGGGAGCAACATTTTCCTACTTACTAGAAATTTCATTTTTATGAATGCCTATCACTCTTACCTCAAGATATAACCCACATGAATATATGTTGAAGCAATACTAATATGCTATCAGTATTTTATGGCATTTGTAAGTAATACAGTAATTATTAAGTTAAATGCATTAAAAAAAATTTGAATTCGAGTTATAACAGCAGCCTGTCAGACCACACTATAGCGGAAGTACAGTATTATTCGTGATTAAGGTTAAATTATACTTGATAATTCAATACATAACAAATTAATAAAATTAGAGTTGATCATTACTTTATACATAGTTCTATCCAGTGACAAATTCTTCTCTTATATTCTATGAGAGAAGAATACCTATCCTTCAATTTCTTTTTTCTTTTTTAATTATTCTAAGGTCTGATCAACTGCATTAAAATAGCATTCTTTGCCATATTCAGATATTAATTTCTATTAAATCTATTTTTAGATATAATAAAATGATTCACTTTTAACCCTTTGATGCCTGGTGGTCGCGCCTTGAAACCACCAATTTTCGAACTTTTTTCTCCTTGTCCTTCAGAAATTTTTGAGTGAAAATCAATTGATTACTGACCTTTGACCTCTAAATAACACAAAATGACTACAGAATCATACATGTTTTAGGTCTTAGTGCTTCAAATTGGATGCCTTTTAAAATTTGTTTACAATGAGACAAAATAACTTCCTTTTATTAATATAAACAACTTTAAATTTCAAAATTTTATTCATTGCACATCATGATTTCTAACATAAACAATAAAAAATGGCATTGATTAAACTGCATATATAAAAAAAAGCCTCTGTATGTATGGCATTTGCTTTGTGGTTTCAGGGCGCGACCACTGCCCCACAACAATGCTCTAGAGGCTTGGTGGTCGTGCCTTGAAACCACTGCTCTTCACATTGGCGTTTGCTTGCTTCTCAAATAGGAATGTTTATTTTTACCTGGATATAGATAAGGGGTTTTGAAATCACAGAATTATATTATTACTAAACAATACATGCACCTGCCCAGTAAATAGGTCTTTCTTTTCCAGAGACTTTTCTCTGACTTCAACACACTTGCTCCTCAAGCTAGTATTGTGATTTTATAAATTATTTCCTGTGGTTTAAATTTAATGTAAATATACTTTGCTGTAATTAAAAATAGAAATCGCGTAAAGTTTTATTTAAATTAAAAATATTTTCTGAATATTTTGAGACGGAATACGAATAAAATAAGTATGAATGGGATATTAATAATCCGTACCAAAGCCAAAAAGACCAAGCCTTCCCCCCATTAACATAAAAAAACCACAAATGTCATGTGCCAGATGAAAAGAAACTAAATAACGCTGGACATATACCAGTGAAATTTAGATCCAATCAGTGTACATTTTGTAGCACAAGGAAGATACACATGCGAAACATGCAGTGTGGGTCTATGCATGTACCAAAAAGACAAAACATGCTTTGAACAGTAGTGTCAAAAAAAAAAAAAAAAAAAAAAAAAAACTTTTTTTTTTATCCTTATTTTACTGAGTTTTTTAATCCATGTAGCTAAATGTCCTTATTATGTAGGTACTTATACTTTCACTGCTATAGTAAAATTACATAAATGTTTATTTTTTAATTTTTTCTGACGATTTAGTTTGTAAAATATATATATAAAGCAATTCTTACATGCATTTTAAAAAAAATTCGTAAATTTCGTCATTTATTGGTAACGCGCATGGAGAAAGGGAAAGCTCTTTTCCCCCTACTACCTCAGTAAGTTTCAAAAGTTAATCATCGCACATCATGATTTCGATCATAAACAATAAAAAATAGAAATAATTAAACTGTATATATAAAAAAGCCCTCTATATGTATGGCATTTGCTTTGTGGTTTCAGGGTGCGACTACTGCGCCACTAGAGCATTGTGTCACAATGGTGCGGTGGTTTCGCACTGCGACCACCACCCACAGAACAATGGGCAAGAGTAGATTTTTTTTTTAATTCATATATTATTTGTCTCTAGGATTGTAATATTCAATTTCTAGAGTTTTTAGTTAAAAAAATTATTAAAATAATATTGCACACGTCAAAGGGTTAAGCAGATTACTGGCTTTTTATATGATTCATTTTAGTATTCTTTGTGTGATAGACATCAACATAAGTATTCTAAAGAATTATAAGATATCTCAGGAAAAACAAAAATATGTCTTATTTTATACAGAGATTAACTATTTTATTTTTCAATGATAAGATAATAAATCTTAAAAAATATTTTATAATAACTAAGACACATCTGGTAAAATAAATTACAAATAAGGCATAAAGTAATTACATTATTTTAAATTTACCCCACATTTTTATTTAATTTCCATAGATATCCAATTACATTTGTTTTTCTTAACTGAGCATTTTTTAAAATTACACTTTTATTAACTAAATCTTCAGCACAGGAACATTTTATGCACATCAGTTGATGTTTTTAACATTAGATGATACACATAGGATAATGTACTGATTACATTGTTAGTCACTGAAAGCTGTTCTATTTAGAATTCTTTATTTTTTAAATGGATTTTTATGCACCCCAAACTAGTGGCTAATTCTTTCCGTATATGTGCTGGTTTTGTAAGTGTATGTTTCTTTAACTTTTTTTTAATATAACAATTAAAGGCACATTTTAAATTCAAAATATTTGTGTTTTTAATTTTTAGTTTATGTTCAACTTTTATCACTTTTACTTTGCAATTATTCAATTATTTTTTTTAATGCTTTTAGGTTCATATGCATGAATAATATATTAGAAATCCCCTCCATTTTTCAATTTAGTTTACTTCTTTGGTAGATCAAGGCGTAGAAGCTTGATTAATGAAGAAATTCTTTAAATATTAAAACAACTGTGAAAAATAATTAAGTTGAACAAAAACTAAGATCAAATAAATACTTAAAATGAGTAATGAATCTGAAAATGTTCTGAACTTTTACAAATGAATTTTTTTTTTTCTTTCTTTCTTTTTTAATGCTTTTAAGTTCATATGCATGAATAATATATTACAAATCCTCCCATTTTTCAGTTAGCTTTACTTCTTAGGTAGATAAAAGTGTAGAAGCTTTATCAATGAATAAATTCTCCAAATATCAAAACAACCGTGAAAAATAATCAAGTTGAACAAAAAGAACAAATTAATACTTAAAATATGCAAAGAAATGAATCTGAAAATTATCTATACTTTTACAACCAAAAAGATATTACTAAATGGCATGAAATACCATAGCTGCCAGTAAACAGGGAAGATTTTCACTCTACACGGCAGCACCATATCAAAGGAAATTGTATTTCACTTTATAATACATAATTCAGATTACTGAATTTTTGTAATTAAATTCTGATGTAAAATATATTAGCATTTAGTTGGATATTCTAAATTTTATGTCTTTTGAATAGTTTCATTTTTTAATTTTCTCAAATTTTTATACTGAGAAAATCCCGACAAGTGAAGGAAAGCTTTTATTTATCAGAGTACTTTTAAATAGATGAAAATAAAAAATAATAATTAATGTGCATAGTATTTGTGAGATAAACTTAGTAATGCATCAATTATTACTGCAAAACAAAATTAAATACAAGCATTAAGTGATTAAACATTGCTTGAATTTTCATATAAAAATCTACAAATGTCTACAGTAGATTAAGACAATTCAGATCAAATGAAATGTAATAAAGAAAATTGATAAAAAAATCAATGAAATATAATAAGGAAAAAATATTCAGAAAATCATTAGATGTGAGGGAATGGAGCTTGCACATTTGAAGTTTCATTAATTAATAAATTTCATTTATTGCTATGAAACATTTTTCTTAGTAAAGGCTAAATATTAAAAACTGGGAGAATCAATGATTTACCTGCAGATGTGATGAAAAACTGTGAGTTTCTATGTAAAACCAGGAGAGTTGGCAGCTCACTATTTAAATATTAAAACATTATCAAGAACATTAAACATGTTAAAACATATTTGAAATATAGTATTAAAATTTTGCATATAAAAATGTTCTAAATGCTTTATGCTAACACATTTATAAATATAGGAATAAAAAAAAAATCTTAATGCATTACTAACTGAAAATCTCTTATGGTGCATTTTATGTGCTGCAAAATTATTTTTATATAATATTTTTTAATATCCCTGCTTGAGGATTAAACATTTGTTTTGGAATTATTAAACACACAAATTAATAAAAATATAACATTAAAAAATCACAATTATTATATAATAGCAAAATTTCTAAGTAGTCATAAATGTAACAACTGATGTAATTATAGTTTATAAATTTTTGTGTTCACATTATAAAAACATTTTAGCAGAAGTAATATATTATTAAATTAAAAACATTTCTTTTAAATTACAGAAAGAACACTGGCTAGAATATGTACATCAAAATAAGTTTTACAAAAAAACTTATCATAGTAAAAGTGTTAAACTCATCTGACATTTTTAAAGCTTACCCGTTATTCAATTGCTAATTAGTATAAAATATAATATGTGAATTTAGAATAAACAAAACATGTATTCCTTGTTACACAGACATGAGATTAAACAAATGAATACATAAGAAATAAGCTATGAAACTGTAATTAATCTTGTAAAAGTTTAGATGATACACATTTCTACTGTTCTGTTTAAATACACTTATGAATCTATACAACAAAAATATAAAACATAAAAACAAGCAAAAAATACCACTAAGCAAAATAAATATATTTTTGCTATACACAAACTATTGGAAAGAAGGTACACAGATCTGAAGTTTCCTAACGCTGTTCAAGGCCATTTCAAGTGTACAGACTTCATACAATAAAAAGATAAAATCTATACATTTCTTTCTAAAATCATGGCAGTGGACATTAAATAGGTAATCTCACTCTTTATGGCTCCCAAATAGTAATGGCATTCCTGAAGAATGATTCTTCTATATTTAAAACACTGAAGAGTTAGAATCATTTAGTGCAGTTTTTGTGTAGTTCAAAAAGGTCTGACATGATTGCAGGATTTCAGACTTATTTTAAACTGCAAGTCTTGAACCTAAAAATAAAATTATATAAGGTTAATTAAATATACAAATGTTTCTCATCAAAAACAAACAAAATGCAAAATCATTAATTTAAAATAATTATTTTATTTAAAAGAAAACAAGACAGTTTTGTAAAAAAAGCTGAACTCAAATAATTAACATAAAAAATATTTTTTAAAGTTTTTTATATAAAATTTTTTATTAAGATGGAATTTGAATAAAAACCTGAAGTGTTATCTATCTACTTCACATGACTACAGTTTTTATATTGTTCGAGAGAAAGAAAAATTCTCTCAGAACTTGGGGGGTGGGCTATGTTATCTGATGGTGTTTTTTATAATTTATTAATAGTTAAAGAAAGAAAGAGAGACAGACTAGGAAAAAAAAAAAAGAAAAAAGAAAGAAAGCACTTTTTGACATACCGCTATTATACAACTTCAGTGATATTTGCCATTTATCAAAAACAATATTTTTAAAATTTATAAAGCTATGATTAAGTATACTGTAAAAGTTATAGTATTGTGATTCGAAATAGTTACTTTTAATGAGTATAAAAGTGCACAGATATAGATAATTTGTACTGTATGTATCAGCATATATATACGATACTGCATGTTTAAAATATATACGTAATGATATGAAATAATGTAAATTTTAATAGATTATTTAGTATTTATTATATTTCTTCTTTACTCCCCAAATACCGGTTTCCGTTCATTACATATAGTGGAGCATATGTAATGAATGCCAAATGTTTACTTCTTTGCCTCAGGTGAAAAAATATGCAGGCATGGCTCTGACAGATAGCATAGTGGTTAACAAAGGCTATTTTAAAATTCAGATGTTATGGATTGTGCTGCCTTTAAGGAAGGGGGTATTTAAAATCTGTTGATCTCAGTCTTCTCAAGAGGTTGGTGAAAGGGTATAAAAAAAGGCATGATATCTTTAAGATCCCATTACCTGGACTACCTTCTGGGATGAAATTTAGGCAGATAAGCTCTAATATGTTTTTGCCTATATTAAATTAATTAATCTTACTCAAACCTACTTTCATTATACAATAAAACATTTCAAAATTTTCTAAAACATGATTAATAGTCATTTAAATTCTCCTTCCTTAGGCTATAACCATAATATTTACTAAGTATACTGAATAGGATAAATGGAAAAGAAGTTCCTATATATTGTAATAACGTTTATATTTTTGTAGTTTTTGTTGAATATCATATTATTATAATAATATTTATATTTTTGCAGACCACAAAATATAATTAATTTTTTTGAAAAAAGTTCCACTGACTCAGGAAAAAAAAATCTTCGATTATAACAAATTATATTAGAATATTAATTAATTTAATTAGAATATGTTATTATAGGGCTATTTCTCAGCCTCAAGGTAAAAAAAAAAAAAAAAAAAAAAAAAAAAAAAACTTATCTATGGGAAATTTATTTAAATTGAACAGCAAGATTTTACAAAATTTAATAGCAAAAATACATAAAAAAAGGGGGAAGAAGGAGGAGGATGAAGTTCCCTGAGAGACATTAATAAAATTTTAATAATAATTATTAATTTTAATAATTTTTCATTTCCTTTCAGTGCGAATATTTCTGGAAATATATTCTAGTTCAGGGGTTCTCAACCAGTGGCACACAAGAGAAAAATAGGTGATACGCAAAGAAGCAAAGTATTTTTAGCTATTAAATTCAAAAATTAAAACCCCACCATCCTGATTGAGTTTTTTCTCCAACACTCGTAAATTTGTGCAAACTGAGCTTTGTTCAAGAAGAGTGGTGGTATTAGTACTTTTTAGTGGTGGTACTAAAGGTTTTCAATTTTTGTTTAGGTGGTACGCATTAGTCAAAAAGTTGAGAACCGCTGTTTTAGTTCAAATAGTCCATCATGAAATTTAACCTCCTTAGCATTACGAGTTTTGCCTTGAAATTTCAATGCTCCTCAAAATGTCATAGATAAATGGTACTTTCTTGAATATAATTAAAAAATGACTCTACCAGTTTGCACCTCGATTCCTTTTCTTTTAATATACATGCAACTTGAATCAAGTACATTAAAAAGCAGCAGAATTTTTCATTTATAATGAATACAAAAGTCACTCTTTTCTATATGGAAGTTTCCATCCACAACACTGAGAGGGTTAAGTGACACTATTTTCTTAAACACTTAAGTAACTATGTCACTTAAAAGCAGTAGAAAAATATAGGTAATCGTTAATTTAAAACAGAGAAAGAATTTTCTTTGGAGTGGAAGTACAACTTACACACATACACAGCACCTACAATCAAAATTAATCTAAATGAATTTTCGGATCTGCAGCTGCTATTTTGGCCAGTGTCTTCTTCACTCGTAGCGCTGTGAGACGAGCTGAAGGATTCTGATGCCAGCATTCTTTCATCAATTTTGTCATGGCTAACAAAGTCTGCAATAGAATTTTACAAGTGATATATGACAAACTCAAACAAAAAATTTACAACAAATAAAAAGTGTTTGAAGTATTTCAGATGCTAGAAGAATTGTAAAAGCATTTCGAACACCAGAAACAATTTGCACCAACTTTTCTTAATTTATAACAGTACAAAGTCCGAGATCTAGAACCATTTGGACTTCAGCAATTCTGGATTTCAGAACAGCAGTTTAAATCTAGTGAGACAACATGCAAAAACTATAATTTTTAATTTGAAATAGTTGTATATGAAATAATAAAACATTTACGATCTTTTTTTTTTTTTTTTTTTTTTTTTTTTTTTGAAAAAAAATTACCCTCTCCCCCTCAAAAAAAAAAAAGCTCAATACTTAATTGTTTGTTTTATTTAACATATAATGAACAAGAAAAGAAATAGTCTAAAAATACAAGCTGCTTCATTTTTTGTGCTAATACTTTCTCTTTAATTTTATAGACAGACATAATTCCTTGTTCAATTATTCAAGCCCCATAATTGCTCAGACAAGAAATCCCACTATACTGTCAATAGAATTCATTTTATTCTAAACAATCTCTTTCACTTTTTTCACTATTGTAGTCATATTTTCTGGATTTAAAGTCATACTACACTTTTCATTGTCTGTTAGTTGACTGATAATTAGAGCATCGATATCACAATGGAAAACTTAAGTTATTTCATCTTTATTTATTAACACTTTTCTACATTTCTTTACAAATTCCATTAATTGGTAAATTTTGCCTTTGCTTGTGATATTTGAAGGCTTCCAGATTCACAGCTGTCATCATCATTATCACCATAAAATATAGCAGCTGGCCATAAATTATGCCAAATATTTTTCTAAATTTCTATACACACATTCCTCCCATAACCTTGCAATGCTCCAAACAGCAGATTTTATGCTAAAATATTTCAAAAATTCTTGAATGATCTTGCTATTATTTAGAAAACTTAACACATATTTTAAAAAAGTTATTTTATACCTGCATTGAGAATGTACAGATTTTCAGTAAAATCATGGATCATTCAGTAAATCATGGATGTGTAATTTGTAGGAAAGAATAAGCTGGAGACATTATCTTTACTAAAACTTTTAAGTGAAATATGAGCTGAACTATGATGAGGTAAATTTTTGCATCATCTGTAAATTAGTCTATGTTAAATGTTGCCAAATCTTGGGTATGAAATGATTTTCAAACTAATCATTCATTAGCGTCTGTGTCATTCATTCTCTTTTATTTGATTAGTAAGTAATGGGGGTAATCATTACTCATTTAATTGTGTGAGGTTGAGTATTTTATTATATTTTTTTATTTTTTATTATGAAAATTTTACATTTATGATCATTAGTCTCATTTTGAACATGTTTCACATGCCAAAACCATTAGTCTCATTTTGACACTGGTTGGGACTGCAGAGGTTATGAAGGTGTTGAAGACACATCTTGCCAGAAAAGACCAGTTTCATAAGCATTATAAATTTGTTCTGGAGATACTTTTTGCAATTAGTGAGGTCAATGAATTCAAATTGTTCAGCTGCAGCTTTTTCACGTAAAAATTTTAATTGTCTTATATTATAGCGATTTTTAAGCTTTGCACTCAGTTTTTAAGGCCATTCTCCCATGAAATGTTTTAGCTTGAGTCATTAGCATTGGACTTGTGAATGACATGTCCTTACTAAGGTGCTATCTCATTCATTCAATCATCACATTGTTATATTTGTCACTTTTAGCATTACAAATAATTCTTCTGTTATTCACTGTGAGTGATGTGTCAGAATGTATAAACAATTAAAAAAGCTCCTTAAGCTTTACTCTCTCTCTCTCTCTCTCTTTTTTTTTTTTTTTTTTTTTTAATGTCATATACTGTTGACTTTCTATTGTATACTTTTGAGATGGATAAGCCTCTCTTTTCATGGGAATTACATTTTTTGTTTGATTGACAATCAAAAAATGCTTTTGTTTTGCAGATCCTGCTGCAGCTTTGGAATTAGAAACATTTTCAATACAACTGAAAATTCAAACTTTAATTTTGATAAGATATCTGTAATAATAATAGCTTGCAAGAAATAGTCAAATTACAAATTTAAGGAAAAGTGCAGTTTGCTATATTACTTGAATTTAAGTTCATAGGAATATAATTCTTTCTCTACCGCTGCTATGCCAACAACAGAAAATTCAGTATTGGGAACATCCCACTACAAACAATTTGGGAGCTTCACTAACTGTTTAGGTCAGATTGAAAAATACTAAGCTCTCCCCTTCCACAACCACTCAAGTGTCAAAATGTAGTCAGCCAGCATCAAAACAAAGTCAATCAGTGCACTGCCATTGGTCACAGTATGATTTCCAAACCAGCAGGCATTTAAAAGTGACATGCAAGAATCTCAGTTAGTCAAAAGAAAAACACCTACTTCTTCTTCAGTTTTCTTTTCCTTCCCCCCCCCATGCCTGGACTTTGTAAGGGAAAAGAAAATCTCATTTATCCATTTTGCTGGTGGTCAGGAGGTTTGGATGTTAGATCATTTTGGATATTAGACATCTGGATTTCAAACTTTGTATTGTATACATAAATGTCTTATGACTGAATAATGAAATAATATTTAAACAACTTGCATGTTAACAACATATTTTTTCTTAAATGACTATGAATATTTTTTACATTATATGTAATATGCAAAATATGCAAAGTTTCAAGTGTTAGAAAATCTTCATAGCTGTTCCAATAAAATTAAAGATATTATAAATTAAAGCACTGCAAATGAAATTGAGAAAACACACTAATGTTCAAATATTAAGGAAAGGATAAGTTTTCCTATGTAAGATCACAAAGAAATATTTCAAATAGTATAAAGCATACCATGACTTGTTGAAATGTAAGGGCACGGGTAAATAAAATTTATAACAAAAGGAATCCAAAAGTTGCAAATGATCTTAAAAAATAGGTTTTGAACACAAGACAGAACACAGAAACATCCACGTGGCAGGAAAGAAAAATGCAGTCCTCACTAAGCACTATGATTATTGACTGTGATGCAGCATATGTGCCATCTGTCCATGCATAGAAAGAAGTCATTAATGACTTCTTTTGGCATCATGGCCAAATTTATCTTGCAGAGTGTGCTGATAATTGCTACAGGGTTGATGATATAATAAGTGACAGATAACAGTGGTAATCACTGACCACATTACACTTCCTTAGAAGATATGGAGTCCTGTATAGCAGCCAAGCATTATATCTCAACAAATATGAACTCTTCTACCTTGAAATTGGTACACCAATCTTGGAAAGGTAATCCTGTCTTTCCCATCTTTCTGGAATCATTAATTGAATTACGCCAGTTTTCATTTGTAATGCGTATTTTATTTCATCATCAGCTTTCCAGCCCTTCTGCTTTTGGCACTACAAAGTAGTGAAACAGCAAATTTTCACCACTGGTCATACAAATACAGTCCCACTGCACTAGCTATGCAATTGGGCCTAATTTTAATGGATAGCATTCAAATGACAATCTGGAGGGCTCTTACCTTTCCTCTTTTATCCTCAAACCATTGAGAGGATGTTTAGCTTGACAGTATGGTGATAAGTCATAGCAAGTGATAAAGGAATGCATATTGCTGCCAATATATAGCAACCTTATGGAGTTTTTGTAGAAGCATAGAGACAGCTGTCAAGAAATAGTACACATATTTTAAGTCTTGAAATTAAGAACAATTTTTGTCTGATTGTCCTTGATGAATGCTAGGAGAACATTTAATGTGCAATGAAGATTGGCATCATGCTATAATTGTGATCTTGTTCCTTGCTTAGCAGATTTTACTGCTGCATTGCATGTTCTAAAAGTTTTAGCCAGGTTAACCTTATTAAGGCATACCATCGAATACTCATTAATCCAGACAATATTATATGTACACCTTTTGGTTTATTCAAAAGTACCTGTATGTAGTTCGGTTTATGCAACACACCCGCAACTTTTCAGTGTTTTATAGACAAAGTTGTACGATATTTAGGTGTTTATACCTTCACTGACGACTTGCTCATATCCTTTTAAGATTCCAAGGAACACTGCAGGCATTTGAAAGTCTTATTTTCAAAACTTCAGGAATATTGACTTTGCATAAATGTTTTAAAATGCACCTTTGGCAAACATCTATTAACTTCTTAGGTTTTAACCTTAGTGAAAACGGAACTGAACCTCTTACTGACAAAGTAAATGCATTTTTGATTTCTCTCAACCAACCACTCTTACTCAGCTCCACTGACTTTTAGACATGTTTAACTTTTACAAATGCTTCATACCTAGAGCAGCACACATTTTTCCTCCTTTAATAAAACTGTTAGAAGGGCACATCAATGTTCAGGATCCATCCACATGGTTAAATTGGTATGAAAATGCCAAACAAATTTTCACTGCTGCTAAAAATGATATTGCTCAGGATACACTTTTGAGATACCCTATTTCTGAAACCCAATTAAACATCAGGATATATGCTGCAATCAGCTTCGGACATCCCAGCTGGCAGCATTCTTACGCAAATGTCTCAAGAAACATGAACACCTATACTTTTTTCCTCTGTGAACTAAATAAAAGTCAACAGAAATGGACTACATATGACAGGGAATTATTTTTAATTTATTCTGTGATAATGAAACTACAATGCAAGAGATATAGGGAAGGAATGTTCAAATCTATATAGATCAGAAACCATTACTATATGCTTTTAAGCAGAACTCCCATTAATGTTCACCTTAGCATTTCACTATTTAGACTTTATTTCTCAGTACTGAATCCATAAGAAAATCTCCACTCTTGGATTTTCAAAAATGTTTCAAAGCTCAAAAGCATGGTTCAAAGGTATGAAACCTTCTGAAAAACAATACATCATCTTTAAAGTTGGAATTCAAACTTTGCCAATACGCTGATGAAAACGTTCTTTGTGACACCTCTACAGATTTTTCTCATCCTTTTATTCCAAATTCCTTTCGCAGGCAAATCTTTAATCCCCTGTACATCCCATCCAGAAATTTCAGCTACGGCAAAACTCACTTGTTTTCATTATGTATATGACATCAAAAACTGATTGAAATCTTGTGAACCTTGCCAGAGATCGGAAATACACAGGCAAACTAAATCTCCACTAAGTACATTTTCTCTTCCTGATGACCTTTTGATTTTAACAGCTTCTCCAAATGGCCTGAAGACATTCTTATCCCCGACATGAAAACAAAACCTATTTGCAGAGCTATTTCAACATATGGATATAACGTTTTGGCTGACCACAGTCATATCAACAAACAGACTAAGGTTCTCAAGTGAGATCTGCAATGTTTACAGTGGTTAAGTGGTTACATGCATTTTGAGTACAAATAGAATTGCGATGACAGCCTATCATCTAATGCGAAATGACACTGCTGAATGCTTTCAGCAACATTTAAAATCCTTAATCAAGGACTGGACTAATAACTGGACTGAAATACTTCCAGTTGTTTTGCTCAGTATTTGGACAGCCATCAAAGAGAATCTACAGACCTCTTAGGCAGAACTGGTTTACAATACAACTCTCAGGCTGCCTAGTGATATAATATTGACATCAGCATCTCTTCATATGACATTTAATTCATCACTGGTTTTCATCATAGAATGTTAGGTCAAAATGCAGGTAGGTGAGGTTCAGAACATATTTCTCCTGCCTACAATAGGAATGGACTGGAAGCTATGGCATTATTTAGATTGTTATGTTGAAAGATTTCTGAAGCTTCCAGGAAATCTAAATCAAAAAGTGCTTCTGACAAGCAAGGATTAATAATTTCTGTATACAAGGTACAAGGATACAAGCAAGGATTAATAATTTCTGTGTTTATGATTACAACATTTTGATAATGTTGGACTTGTTCCAATAAAATTATAATCAGCTATATTTTTATCTTTGTTATTTTTTATAGCAAATAATCTTTTTGTTTATTTTAGACTGTTCAAAGTTATTTTCCTTAACTATTACAACAGTTTTCCATAAAATGCATTGGAGTTTTTTTTCCCCCACCCTATTGAAATTATCACCAGAATTAAGTGTTGATAAAAGTTGGTAAACAGTTATTAGATAGCCTTCTGTACATATTTTATATATGCATGAAAAAATAAGAAGAAATCATTAATCAGAAATAATTAAGAAAAAAAATTACCATATCTGATGACCATCGATTGGGGATCACAGGTCTTTGTTGATCAATACAAACTACTTTTCGCATATCCTCAAAACTGGGATCACTAGGCACACAATCGTGAAATGGAGGATGATATTCTTCAGCAATCCCTAAGGAAAAGTGTTTATTAAATATAAAATTACTAAAATGTTACATGTATATTCAAGTATACATTGAAAAACACTTTAAATGAATTTACAATAGGAATGGACTGTATAACTTAAATATCAGTTATCATATTTCTTAGTTTGTATTACTGTCTCCTAAAGCAGTAATTTTTGTACATTTCAAGTGAGGTTGTCAGAAGCACCACAGAAATGAAACATATTTGAATTTATGAGAAAACTTACTGAAAGGAAATATTTCGCTTAACTTATATTAAAAAAAAGTAAGAAGGAGGAGAGGAAACACAAATGCTAGATGCTACAATTAATTTAATACATGCCTTGAAACACTACACCTCTCAAACTATGAAGGATTAAATTTGCATGTACCAAATCATCCTTTTTCCCCGTTTTTTGTAGCATGTATTTGTCGACAACTTCCTGGGAAGATAACTTCACACAGATACTGCATATTATTAATGTTGGATAATGAGCTTCGTATGTATTTTTCCCCCCTCTTTGTGGCTTGCGTTTTCAAAGCATGTGTTTCATAACATCAGGTTAACTTGGGATTCAATTTTGAAATAACATACAACAACTCAAGTAAAAGGGTAATGCAAAACCGTAAAACTTTTTTACAATGAAGTGGAAACATTGAAGCTGGCAAATGTACTCAGTACAGAGTTTCACTTATAATTGTATGAGAAGTAGCTCATTACCATGTAACATGTTATTAGTTGTTTACCGAGATACAGGATATGCATTCGCTTCATATTACCACAGTTGCCACAAAATTCAGTTTTCCCTGGAAGTAATCACCAAAGGCTTACCACAGCTACATTCAATTCCCATATAATCTGTCATATGTTGTTCCATTTCATCATTTCTGGCACAATGTCCTACATATCAACAGGCTCTATCTTCCTGCTCTTTGAGCTGTTTACTAGTGCAGATAAGGCATTTAATTTCATGCTACCATTTGTTTTTACCCAGATTTATTAGATAAGGCAGCAAAAATTTGCATATACACAGGCATACAAATTCATTTAGCATTTTCTGCATACATATTAATTGCTTGGAAGTTCTGGGAGCAATAATGGCCACCAGCAGCCGAGCAGTAAAGTTGATCAGCACTGGTAATTCGGTCTGAGGTTCAAATCCCAGCGAATGGGATGGCTGCATGGACATTTTCATGATTTTCCCTATGTGTAATGTGCATACGAACCAATTCCCTCAGATAATCCTCCATGAAGGCATCTCTTCCCTTAGGCAGATAGCCTTTGTGTGCTTTGTTGCAATTAAATAAACCAAACTAAACTGGGAGCAATAATGCTGTCAGAGATATCATTAGATGCTTGATGGAGTGTTTATATTTACTTCCATTGTAAATATAGTTCAAGGATGATATTTTGGTCATTTAACAGACAATAAATACAAATGAGTCCACATTTATTTAATGTTTAAAAAAGCCCCATACAAAATGCCTATAAATGTACAGCCATGGATAAAACATACACAACAGCAGTTCTTAAAAAGCAACTGAAAATTATAGCGAAGATAAAATGTTATATTCATTGATATAAATACTAAACATTAAAAATATAAACACTGAACATAAATAAACTAAAAATACAAAATAAATTTTGTATTTTGAGAAACAAAAATTTACAAAATAAAACATATTTAATACAGTTATTTACAGTTCCCATCTGCAGTCAAAGGTTCACTGATTTTATAAAACATTATTAATCAATCTTAATTTTAGTAATCACCAATAGTTCATATCAATAATCATAGTGCATTAACAAGATGCAGTTGCCTTAGAAGTCACTGTTCTAGTTTATTATTTTCTTTAAAAGAGAAATGAGTCAGAAAAGTTGTCATAAAACTTACTCTTAGTTCACATATAAAATATTTTACAGATTTACAAATGTGCTTAATCATCTCACAGAATCTACCATGTGCAATCCTTTTCCATTGCCATGTGCAGTGGTAGGGAATGGGACTATTCGCCACTGCCGTTTTTCAATTGGCAGTGGCATCCGACCGATTTGCCATCAAGGCATATTTTTCTTTAAATGCTTATATTATAGCTTGCCAAGCAAATTCCTAGGATTAAAACTTTTTGTATAATATATAAAATGTTTTTGTATACAATTTTATACAAATATATTGTTATGCATGACCTAACTTATACATATATTTATCTATATTAATATTGATTTTAAGAAAGTAATGTGCTAACAAGGTTACAAAGTAATTCCATTTTCGACTAAGATTTCATAAAAATGTGAATTTCCTGCTTGCATGAGTTATTTCGCTGAACTACCTAATTAAAATTTCAAAAAATTTTGATGAATCTTGTAAACACTGCATCTGCATTAATTTTATAAATGATATTATAACTTGCTAAGTTTAGCCCATAATTATGAAATGTGATAATTTTGTTCTATTTGATACTGACATAATTTTCAAACTAACTAGGCATAATTTCTCTACACCTCATATTTGCAAACAATGATAAACACTATAAGCAACCTTTATTACATATTCCATTTCTACAACAGTGAAAGTTAATTTTGAGGAGTGCAATGACCATTATTAATTCCAAACCTACAGCTGTGCAATTTTTCTTACTTATAATTTTGAATTTAAAAACTGAATTTAATCTAAAAATCATAGCTGCAATTATATCAGGATATTTAAGTACAACACATGATACTTATTCAAATGCATTTCTATTATGATGTTATTAATGAAGAAAGTTTAATAAAATACCAATCAAGAATACACAAATACTTAAAATACTTTATCAGGTCAAAGATATTCTTAAAAGTAGTTTTTAATTCAAAGCAAGTCATATATTAATGAACAATCTGTGCTTCCTCCCCCCAAGAATGTTTAATATTTCTTCTTTTTATTTATATCTATTAAAAATCTAAAACGTGCTTCACATATCAATTTTGCAAATAAGATTTTCAATATTTTAGAGCAAAAAATGATTTATGCAATGCACATGGTAACTGGTAATATTATTAACATTTAAAAATATTCATAAATATTTAAAAAAAGTCTCTCTATTGCAGGTCTCTAAAGCTTCTACAGTAGATATATTATTTTGTTCCTAATGCAATTTTCTTCATGAAAACTAATATTTGACATTTAAAATGCCAATATTACACACCTACAAATCAGAAGAATACATATTTAGAAGTATTTCAAGTTTTTTTTATATTCAGATTGGAGACAGAATCTACTCTTTTGGGGAATTAAAATACTAAAATTTAAAATTCCCTTATAGTTAATAAAACATTTGATACTCTTCTATTGTCAGGACCGGATTCAGAAATGTATGTATATATGCTTGCATTTATGAATGTATGTGCTCAAGTACGCATGTGTATAATCTGTATGTATGTATGTGTATACACACACACACATAAAGGCACATAGATGATTATACACATGCATGCATACATATATTTCTGAACCTGATCCCGATAACAGAAGTACCAAACATTCTTTTAAATGTAAAGTCACACAATATAAGATTCGATTACAGATTGAAATTCAAAAACACGATTCAGTGGTTTCAGTTATGATATTAAAATGACATATTTGTTTGCTTGCCAGTCAAGGATGAGAAATTTCCTATTCCTCATTTATTGTTTCAGAACTGTTGTCGACTCTGATTAAATTGCACTGAAAACTTTTTTTTCTAAATTGACAAGAATTTCTTGTAGTTCTATTTAAATATTGTCACACAATTGAATTAATTTAAGGGGACTATTGATTTCAATTGTAAAATCCTGCTTAATGGCAATGAAAATGAAAATAATTTTGCAACTAAAAACAATGCAATTAAAAAATCAGACCATTTCAATACATTCAAGAATATATAAAACCCCAGAAGATGATTTCTTATGTTAATTCTTCATTATTCCTAGTGCATGAAGTAAAGGTTTTAATAATTTCACCACATGCATAGCAGATTCATGTCTCTATATAATAACTGGGACAAAGTTTTGTCAGAGATTCTTTTCCCAAAGATGAGCCTAATTTGATATACTTTTTTGCAAACTAGGCGTATACATAAAAGAATATCATTTTTGTACCAATCCCATACTTACAAACATCTTTAATGTGGCATGCTTCAGAAAATGGCAAATTACAAGAATGAGAACAATGCATTTATAGTGGTGAAAGAAATCTTTCTTTCACTTTAGCATGTACTCTTTGAACGTTTTGGATATGGCTGTGGCTCATCACAAGCTTTATCGCTCATGTATTTCAAATCTAAGCCTTACTGATGTCAAATTATTTATAATGGCATTAGTCAGATCTCTGCCTGTTGCCATTTTACATACCAAATGTAAAAAATTTACTCCTTTTATTAAAAAATTTACTATTAAAATATTTTTTACTCCTGGAGGAGGATTTAATTTTAGCTGATGTGTTGGTATAGGTATCTGAATTAGAATCTAAAGTACTTGTTAAAGTAGAACTTTGTCGATGAGTTAAGTTTTAGCATTCTCGGGTTGTCGCTCATCATCGCTTAGTATATGACATTTCATTTTGCATTTCAGCTTCATGGTAATTTAAAAAATAATTTAAGAAGGAATGTTGCCCCTTTTTACTCATTTTGAAATTTATTGAATCGACACAGATTTCCTGACTATGCCACTTTAAGTTTTTTGATCATAAAATTAATAATGATTATTATTACTGTATTGTGTTATGTTTCACTAACACTACAAGAGAAGAACAAACCAAGTCTGGAGGTCCAAGTCTAAATAAAAGATGAGATGAGTGTGCTCATTTCAGCAATCTACAATCTGATACTCAGAAATGTTTTAAATGAAAATAGGAAAGAAGGTTCATGAAGTAACCAACACCAATTAACTAAGGATAATACATTCGCATTTTCTCTTCAATAGCACCAATGGATGAGATGAAAGCAAGCACTGCTGAAGCAATGCAGCCATGGTCATAAACGAGCCCAGGTGCCCATTCCTTTATTTTTTGTTTCCAATGGCTATTTTGGCAAATGAGATCTCATGTGGGGCTTGAAGCTCAACTTAAAGAGGTTAGCAGCAGGACCCTAACTGGCTCATCATGCTCTACCAATATAGTTTAAGTCTGGATCATTTGATTAACACACACTGATTCTGCAGCCCATTTTTAACAAATGTGAATAACTTCTTTACTCACATTCAACCTCTTGATTACTGCTAGACATATTCAGACACTTCAGGAATTAATTACTTCAGCAATCTCTTTCTGAGGTCTAAATCATGCATGCAATAAATCTGACAATATTTCACAGTTTTTAATGCATTTTCTCTGCAGAGAAAATGAACAGAGAAAGCTTTTGCCCTGAGAGTACAAATTTTTATGTAACTATGTGCATCTCTTGACAAAATATGCAGAAACTAAGATTAGAGTGTTTCACTGTAGAAGCAGTATTCCTTTTATAATTTAAATAACCTGACAAAACACTTAACAATCTTCAGAAGAAAAATGTTATAATTTTTAGTACTTCTTGATTATCTACACCCCCTGAAAAGTATTGCCACATTGGCGAATGTGCCACATTGGCAAAACAGGCAACCCATGATATCAGCAAACTGCATTCATGTCGCAACTTAAAGTTGCATACACACACATCAGATGATTACCAATTTCCACTAATCGCCAATGCCCACCTTCTAATTTGACTATCATTAGCATTTGTTGCATTGGGTGATTTTGTTTTTCTTGTATAGAACCATAATGGAACTTTGGAGTTTTGTCAGCTGATGAAAAGGGAAGCATTGCATTTCTTCAGAAATACAGCATTTTGTTTAATCATACATAATGCAAAAATTTTCATTCCATGAAACTGTAGTTCATAAACAATAAAATTTTATGGGTTAAAATTTGTGCTCTGATGACAAATTTGTGCAATTCTCTGATGTTTTTGATGTAATCTATTTGATTACTATGTACATGGGAAAACAACAGCCAAATTCGTGAATTTCTCTGATATTTTGAAATGAAAATAGCAAATAACAAAATGGAATACAAATGAATAACAAAAATGGATCACTGTGTACATGGAGAGAACTGACAGTATGCAAGTACCAAGCTGTGCTTGATGATTAATTTTTGCAGTTCAATGATGATTTTTTAAACTATAACAGATCGCTGTGTTCATGTGAACTGTGGGAAAAAAAATCTGAAAGGCTTTCCAATTTTATACTATACCCAAAGAGGTCCCCCCCATTTACCTACACATACACATTTCAAGAGCATTTGATCTAATATACCTTTGGCCTAAAATATTTGAAACAGCATATCTTTAGAATTTCCAATAGATAGTCTCGCACGCTGGAGATAAAAATGTCTTTTTCTGTACAGTGTTGCCATTGCTCGCTTTGAAATTATCGAGTTTGTTAATAAAAAATTTGTTAAAGTTTTACAAAATATTAAACAGATAATAAAACAAATTCAAAATTCAGGCTTTCAATTTTCAAATTCAGGCCAGGTGCTCAAATTTGGGTGGAGGACTTCGTTATTCAAAGTTTGATGGCTCTAGGTAGCGTTGTTTTTTCACAAATCAAGAGACATACATACATTCATGCAAGATTTCTTCATTATTTAATTTCTTTAAATATATTACAGGGCAATAATAATTGTTTGCAACAACCTGAAAAGTGATGAAATGCTTTTAGTGATCTAATGCAAAATGACATTTTAAGACTAATAACCCTTTCGACTACAATACTTGTTCGAATAACAGAGAAGGCATGGTTGTAACTGTCCATCCCTTCATAGGAGGTAATATTTGCCACCTAATAGGTGCCTCCAGAATATAATGGCCACCACTTCCAGCCTTAGGAGTGGTTAATGTAGAAAAAAGACAATATACTGCCTGCTGTTTTAGACAAAAGAAGCAATAAAAAGTAACCCTTCTAGGCTAACGTCCCTTCGGGTTATCAAAATAAAAGAGCAAGTGTTTTATTATGAATGTCTCTCGCATTTTTAATTTTTTCAATTGGTTGCTGCTTATGTTATTCTACGCTTTCATTTTTGAAAATGGCTGTTGTTTTTCATGTCTTAGTTTCGCAAAAAGATTAATCGTTAATGTTTGTGGGCTTTTCAGGAAGAAGATTCAGATCATCCGAAAGTATTATAATTTTGTTGTTGTCGTTTGCCATTTAAGAAAACAAAATTATAAAACAATTAACATAGCAATTACAAATACATACCCACATAAAAATTTGTCATATTTCACTTACCACCTGTCAAACAACGTAAACACACTTCCCAAAGTACAAGTCCAAATGCATACATATCTACTCTCCTGTACGATTCAAAAACAGCAGGATTCATCTTTTCTTCCAACACTTCAGGTGCCATATATCTTTTTGTACCCACACGGTAATTCTGCGCAACATTGGTTTTACCAGTTGTCTGTGTGTGGGTCACTGCTAAGCCGAAATCTGCTATCACACAGGTTCCATTCAGTTTTACAAGTATATTTTTGCTCTGCAAAAAAAGAAATATTTTAAGTGCATTAAAAATTTTTATGATGATTTATGACAAAGTAATTTGATACATCAAATACAGGAAGGTATACAGCTTAGGAGACTGATTACGGCAAAGACTCAAAAGTACTTTCATGGAGGAATTTCTATAAAAAATTAATTTACATTTATGTTGCATATAGAAAAGAATTTCATATGCCAGCACATGATCTCCTATGTGCCATCAGTTCCATGTCTTAAGAGTGAATAAGCAGAATAGCAATGAGCTTTAAATACTTACTATCACTTCCAGTTGATAGTCAGTAAATAAAATCTAATTTGTTTATAAACTTTATGGCTAAACAATTTTCAAGCTTTGATTTGAAAATATCACATCAACCATTATATAGCCTCTGGTCATATACTGTTTTGGATTCATAAATCAATGACTTCACTATCACAAATTTTTTAAAAGCAGCACATCTTTAGAGTTCCTCATACAGTGTTGCCATACATTTATTTTTATATTAGGTATATTATTTATATTTACTCTATTATTTCTTTGAAAATAATGCACAGCAATAATATTTGATGGCAGTACCCTTTTATCTGAAAAGTGATTCAACACAAAAGTGAAACGAACTCAAAACTGAAGACTGAAGTAATACATTTTATTACTTCATAAGGATAGCACACCTCCATAATGAACTTATTCTCCTTGCATTTAGCATAATTGCAAGAATTCATTTAATGTTTATAAATGTAATATGTTGTTCTCAATCATGTACCTATTTCAAAGACCAAATTTGAGAAGTCTGGGAGTATATTACCTCATAATATATCTATAAAAAATCAGTTAGATCTTTTCTGGTTTATCAATTTTCTTTTCATTAATAAAAAAAAAAAGTTTTGAATACTAAAACTGGTTGTCTCGGATTATATTTAAATTACATTTTTCATTAAAAACTGTTACAGGCTTCATGTAACACACCACTTCCAGTAATCCATTAAAGACTGTTAAGAGCTTCTTGTCAAGTACCAGCTCCAGCTGTCAAATTTTATCCAAAATCTCATCAACTCTTTATATGAGAGAAGAAAGCTCAAATATGGAAAATGGAAATTCTTGAAAGTTTGACATAAAAGTTATGAATGAAATCATCATCACACATACACATAAATGTACAGGCAACATTTTAAAAATGTATTGTGAGGACCCTTATCCCAGCATATTAAATGAAAACTTACTATTCAATTTTCAGATAAAAAATCATTATGTCCCATGCCTATGTTTATGGGAGATTAAAAACTATCAAAACACATATGCAACTTAAACTGCTTCAGTGGCAACTTAAACTGTTTCTGTGTATGTGTAAATTAAATTTTACATTGAACTATTAGCATTCAGTAATTTTTAACCATAAGATTGTCAAAATGCACTACTTCAGCCACTAATGGGCAGTAAGAAATACATCCAATACTAATACAAATCAAACAAGTGAAAACTTAAACTAAGAAATTCAGTTAGTATTATCTCAGTCAACTGTAATAATTTAATAGGTCTCAGGCTCTATTATATGGAATAAAATTACTTTTACATTATTAAAGAATAAAATAAAAATTCTTAATGTATATATATATATATCACCTATAGCTGCCTGAAATAAAGGAAATAATTCAACTGCAGATTGCGAAGTAATAACTTAACCAAAACAAAAAAATTACTTATTTTGTAACTTCAACTGGTATATGAAAGCATTTCTCTATTAACAAGGAGCTGCAATTTCTATACTTTTAAATAAATATACAGCACATACAAAACTCATACGTCAGCCAGCAGCAAGTTTATATATATATATATAGAGAGAGAGAGAGAGATATAACTATCATTTTGTAACTGAATACACTACATATGACAATCCAAATACCTTCCATGAACTATACTAATGATATAGGTGTTCATGAAAACTATCATCTACCTACTTTTTAAATGATGTTAAACAGCTATACTATTATTAAACTTATCTGTTAAGTTGGTGCCAGTTGCCAATGTCCACCAAAGTACTCAATTTGGTAGCTTATTTGTATATTATAATGTGTGCAATAAAAACACACAATCCATTTTCGTTTAAAAAAAAAAAAATGGGGAATTTCACAAACTTAGCATTGTGTATATATATTATACAATATATTACTTACAAGATTTTTTTTTTTTTTTTTCAGAGAGCTTTACATATTATTAGAATTGGTGTCACCCAGTCAGATTTCATGCAAACATTTATGTCTGGCACTAAGTGGTGCCCCATTGACAGAAAAATACCATTAAAAATGAGAAATATAAAAATCATTAAAAAGTATATTAATAGTTTTTTATTAAATAGCCTATTTTTTCCCACTAGATATGACAACATAATATAATTTGAAAAATATATTAAAAATCTGCCTTAAGATTAGTAACAGTTTTAGAATTGATACCTCGCTAAGAAAAACTACATTAAAGATCTTGTGCCACAAGACAGACAATTTATTAAGAAAGGCACAATTAATTCCATGATGCGACAACATAACTTTCCTTCCCTGACAAAATTAATATATGCAGATCTCATTGCAAAACACTTGCAAATATTTATAAATACCACGTTTGCCAATAATGATGGTTAGTACAACAGAATAATTCAAACTCTTGCACAGCACGAGAAAAACAAAACTGGCTTGGTACACTTACTACATACTTTCTTGTCTTCCACTGCCCACCAGCGGCCGAGCGGTAAAGTCGCTGAACACTGGTAGTTCGGTCCGAGGTTCGAATCCCGTGAACGGGCTGGCTGCATGGGTGTTTTCGTGGTTTTCCCCATGTGTAACGTGTATACGAGCCAGATTCTCTCTTAGAAAGTCCTCCACGAAGGCATCCCTTTCCCTTTGGCAGATAGCCCTCGAGGCTTTGCTATAATTAAATAACCTCTTGTCTTCCACTAGCACCCACCTGCTCAATATTTAAAAACTTTTTAAGCAATCATAAGACTTTATGCAGACTTAATGTCTTGCAGTGACATCACACAAAAGGCTGCATTACAAATTATCACAGAAAGTACCTTTGCAGAAACTTCGACATCTTGTTGACTCACTTTGGATCAAATAATAATACAGGTACTTGACTGCACAGATTTTATAACATTAAAGTATGTCTAATATTTTGGAATTCTGTGTAATAACATATAACAAAGATATATTTAAAACTCCAAAACAAAATCATCTTAAAAGGAAAACATTTAATTGCGTATTGTTTCCATTATTTATTTCAAAACATAAAACATTTATTTGTCTACTGTATGCATCCTTATTTAAAAACAATTTTAAGTTATTTAAATCTAAATAAATCTTCATACTTTTATATCACGGTGAGCTATAGCAGGCTTTCCATCAGTTCCAAATATTTCAGTATGAAGATGAACTATTCCTGATGCTGCTGAGATGACAATAGTCATCATCTGCTGATGTGTCAATGTATGGGAATTTAAATAGTCATACAATGAACCAAGCTCATGATAATGGGTAATAAGCCACAACTGAGTACATGAATTGTAAGAAGTGACATCTGAGCCCATGTAACCTAAAATATTTTCATGGCGCAACATCATAGTACTGTATATTTCAGTCTCACGAGCCCAAGATGCTTCATCTGTAGAGAAAAATATTTTTACAGCCACATTTTCTCCATGCCAAGCACCTCGCCAAACCTCACCATATCGACCTTTTCCTGTAAAAACAGGTAAATATGTTAAAGTTCTCAATATTTAAGAGAAGAAGCTGAACAAAACACTAATACATAACATTATTCCAAAATTTTCACAAAATAATTACATTAAAAATGAAAATTTACCACACACAATTTCTTATAATACTTATTTCTATTATTAAATATATATCCATTTATATACAACTGGACATAAATTTTAGAAGTCATTTCAAATAAATGATAATGTTAATCCATCGAAAAAAAAGCTAGTCACTACTATCATAAAAATAAGTGGTACAACTTACCAATGCATTCTACAAGAGAAATTTGACGAGCTAATGTACGTTGAATAAGAAGAGGCAGACCAGATCCACTGCCTGATGTAACAGAATATTCAAATAATTCCTAGGTGAGGAAAAATAAGTTTAAGTACTTGTAAAAATAACTATCTTTTAAACAAACCAAAAAGTTTTATTAAAAGCTCTTTTTAATGTTCAAACCTCTGTGATAAAACTGCATTCTGCCAAATCATTTGCATGTTAATGCATGCAAAGAATTTGTGAAGTGTCTCAGTAATCGATGGTGTCCGCTACTAGCTAAGGCCGCACTGAAAGCTGTTTGCTGTATCAGATGTTAAACAAAACATTAAGAATTTCCAAAAATAATTTATTAGTAATATAATCAGATGTTAAATATGAACAAAACATTAAGAATTTACAAAAATAAACAATTATGCAAAATTTAATTAAAACTGAGTGAAATTACACATTTTTGTAAATTCTTAATAAATATCTGACGCTAAATAAATACAGAAAACTTATTATTAAAAAATTTCAAAATGAAAAAACTTGTATTTTGCAGTAATTGACAAAGCAGGCAATCTTCTTATTAGAACATAAATTTTATTTCTAGTTCATGGAGATAGATAATTTGAAGAAATTTTTTAATAGCAAAACTTTCATAGTAAACTAGCTGGTAAAAACTTCAAAATTCTAATTTTTTAACAGTTTCTCACATTGCTGAGCAACGGTTACATAATACAAATATGGCATTGCCACTTCAACAATAAATATAGTTATTTATTAAATAACAAGATATTACAAGGATTTCAGATTTTAAATTATGTCCAAAATTTTAAAATGAGCATATCTTTAGAATTTCTGATATGCAGTTTCCTGCGCTGGAGATAGAAAGTTTTTTTTTTTTTTTTTTTCCCTCCTATACAGTGTTGCCATTGCTCACTTTGAAATTCTTTGAGTTTGTTAACAAGAAATTCGTTAAAGTTTGACAAAATATGAAATCAATAATAAAACAAATTCCAAATTTGGTCTTCCACATGCCTATATTCGTAGGAGGATTACGTCATTCAAAATTCGATGGCTCTATGTACCATTGTTTTACCACAATGCGAGAAATAGACTTACATTTATGCAGATTTTGCATTATTTAATTTCTTCAAATATAATGCAGGACTCTACCATTTGGTGGCAACACTTTGAAAAGTGAAATGGACATTTATAGTGATTCAACGCAAAATCGCAAAACTAAAACAATAGTCCTTCAGGGACAAGGCTCCTTTAAACCAGTGCTCCGCAACCAGTGTGCCGCGGCACACTGGTGTGCCATGAGTAGGATATAGGTGTGCGCAATCAAATACAGTATTTGACATTTTGCAATTTTTACAGTATTTAATACACAATGACAATTTTTTTCCTTAATAATGTCTATTGAAATTGTTTTATATATTCACTGTTGTGTGTGTTGATTGTAAGTTGTCGCATTGAATTTTTTTCGGCACTTCTTGATAACTCGGAACTCTTTGGTGTGCCACGAAATTCCAGAAAGATTTTTTGTGCATCGCAGGTGAGAAAAGGTTGCGGAGCACTGCTTTAAACTAATAAAATATATTTTTTAAACCTAAAAGCTATTTCTAATTGCATTACAAAGTATGAAATAAAATAAATATTACTTCTTGAGCACAACACTCAAAAATTGCATTTGCTTTTCAAATCTTTATGTTTGCTATTTTTTAATGTTGTGTCAAGTGCAATTAAAAAAAGATTTTAGATTAATTATATACAGTACAAAATCTGTAATCCAGATGTCCATTATCCAGAATGATCTATAATCCGAACCTCAAAGCCACAAACTTTTTTTTTTTTGTATGCTTTACGCATGCGCATACATTATGCATGTGCGCGTTGAAAGAAATGATTAATAAAGTAAACAAATATTAAGCTTTTTTTGTAAAATTTGATACCCTTTGGATCATAATTGCTTTTTATTTCATAAATTACGGTTTCATATTTTTAATTGTATAATTTCTGCATGCCATCTTACCAGATTTAAATTGATAATCTATCGCCAGGAATCGCCGAAATCCTGACGAGTCCGTATTATGGACTTTGTACTGTATATATATATTTAAAAGACAGTTTAATATGTCCATGGGATTTGAAATAATGAGCATAAGTACTTCTTGCCCCCCCCAAAAAAAGATTTTTCTTTGGCTTAGTCCAAGGAATATGCTAATCTAGTAAATAAAAACACAATTATCAAATAAATACTGATTTTTAAATTCCCACTATTAGCTCACTCTCCCTAAATCTGTTCAAATTTTCAATCGTTAATAAAATACTTTTTATTCATCCACTCAAGTTTAAATACATTTTTTAAATACTTGTAGTGGATGACACTTGATGTTAATACAGTTTTTTCACATATTACAATCAATTCCAACTCATTTATTCCTGTTTATCGGAACTAAAGATATGCTGTTTTTATTAAATATATTATACGACTTGCATATAATACCATAGGAGGAGTTATTAGAAATTCCCACGTGCTGTAAAAATTAATTTTATAACAACTTATAAATAATGATACATGACTGTGATAAATGGGATTGTAATATTTAACAAAAATAAGTGGCAACAGTAAGACAGAGTTCTAGAGATTTTTAAAGTGTATGGAATTATAGAATTGTAGTTTTATAGAGTTGGATGAAGTGGATGCAATGTCCCATTATGAAAAGAAATTCTCCAAATATTTCCATGTGATAATAATATATGTTTAAAATATAACCCTTTAAAATGTCAATTGCATCTCAAAAAGAGAATGCGAAAAAGAACTACAACACAACGCAAACAATGATTAATAATCCATTAATATTATACTCTTCGCAGCAGGTCAAGCATATGTCACTTTGAGTCATGTGAAATCATTAGATGGAATATTAATTGAAGAACTGGACTGCTCGAAACTCACTAAAAATGTTCCTTGAAATAATGAATCACTACAAGAGATGTATAAAATGAGAAATTATAGACCCCCATCAGCTTCATAAATTAGAAATGAAAAAATGTTAATAATGTTTATAAAAAGTAAAACTAAAATAAAATTTTTCTTTGTTGACCTAAGTAGGAATTGACTTAAAAAAATTTTTTTAATATTATTTGTTAAATTTCAGAGGCAACATACATGATTAGAACATAATTTAGATACTGAAAGACAGATGTTAACATTCACAAATATGGTTTTTATTTGGTTGATATAGCAAAACAAACAAGAGCTATCTAAAAGAGATACCTTTGTGGAGGACTTTTTAGAGAAACAAATTACATTCATGTTACATAAGGGAAAAAAATCATGGAAACAGTCATGAAATTAGCCTATTCACTGTGAAATAAACCTGGGCTGAATCACTTTAGTATTACATAATCTTATTTTCTTGACCACTGGAGAACTTTTACTAAAAAAATAGTTTTAAAGCCATTTCAAAAGCTGATATATCTTTAGAATATTTTTTTTAAAAACACTCAAATTAAATTTCTGTTTGCTGCCACTTTCACAAATATTTTAACTAAGATGAGTCTTCTAGATGTAAGAAAAAAAAAATTAATGTAGAATACATGTATATCCTCTAAAATGAAGACTTTTCACTAATACATGACATACATGAAAGGTTTTCATAACACTGTTTAATAATTCTTAAAACTGCTTATATCCTGTTATGCACTGCTATATGCAGTTCTAAACTTTTCTGAGATTTGTGGGGAAGGGCGCTTTTTTAAATTTTTTTAATTTTTTTTTTTTTTTAGCTATTTCAAAAATGCTTTTGAGTTTAATCCACCTTCCATGAATTTTATTTATTTATTTATTTTTTCAACAGCATAAAACAATGATCCATGGCACTAAAACTCAGAACTACAGCAAATCCTCATTTGGTGAATCACTCAGGACTGGTGATAAAATTTATTAAATTGGAAGACAAAAGAAGATAATACGAAAAACAATACGATATAAAACACAAAAATTAATTCTGATATCAGTATAAAAATCTTGATAAAATGGAATACATGAAAGTTAATTTACACGCAAAGCACAACAGTAAAATAATTAAAAAAAATCATGTAATAATTCTTTTAAAAATACAAGTATGATAGCACTGTGATTTTTCCATGAATTTTGCTCTCTAAATTCATGTCTAAGTTTTGCAGAAGTGTTAAGTATTATGCTTTTTATTTCATCATCCCTAAAAATTCCTCTCCTCCTAAGTCTGTATTGCCTAGAAATGTTTTTTTCAGTAAAATATAGTTTATCTCTTAATATTTAAACAGAAGAACTATGTTTCTAAGAAAGTCAATGAATTAACATCCACAGAAACATAATACGAAAATCTGAGCTGAAAAATTGCATTCCACATCTTTATAGAACATTTTTCAAAATTTCCTGTGAAAGTGAGAAGACTGCATTTAGAAATAAAAATGAGTTTTAAAATTAGTCACTGAAGCCATTTGTAACTGAATGTCTTGCAAAATTCATCACATGAAGAGCTTAGTTTAAATTTATGAGTTACACTTTGAAATTTTATTTCAAAATTTTTCAATATTAAAATGACTAATGATTTTCTACACTTCATTTAAAAATAACTGAATCCTTTCTATGTTAAAAAGTTGCTATTTATTAGTACAATTTTTGGCAGGAAGGAAACAACTCTTATGATGCTCATGTTAGCAAAGCTTATATGTAGTTAAAAAGTTTTTTTTTTTTTTTTTTTTATGGATGTGTTTACTGCTAAATGATTGTGGAAAAGAGCAAAATGGGAAAAAGGTGAAAAGGAAACATAGTACACCACACCATTTCCTTTTATCATAAAAAAACAAACACTTTTGATGATATTAAATGCTAGACTCTTACAACTAAGCAATTAGTATTAAACAATGCACTAAATTCATATTTTTGTATTTAATCTCAATACCACTATATTTAATAATTTATCACGTGACTTTTCCCTATGCCTAATGTCATTTCACACATGAGTAATAGTGAAGTACCAAAGTTTTTACATGAGCAGTAAAACTTGGTTAATAGATTTGTTAATAAAATAATTTTGATAATAGTTATAAAAATTGGTTAGACTTGGTATAAATTGGTAATAATATTTTTAAAAAATAATCTCATACAATAAAAAAGTCTTTTTTTTTTTTTTTTTTTCCTTTTCCCTTTTTTCATTGTTGTTATACTGAAAACTGAAACTTTAAATTTTAAGACAGCATAAAACTAGAAATATGTGCATTTTGCATGTTTGTGGCATATACAATTAAAGAATGTTATCATTATTATACGTTTTGCCTAATCTAATATTTAACTTTTCAGACAGGTGCTCAGTTTTTTTCATGGTGCTTAAAAATACAGAATTTCTCACATCTAGCAGCCCTTTATTAAAAAAAAAAAAAAAAAAAAAAAAAAAAAAAAAAAAAAAAAAAAAAAAATTGCTTCCTGCTCACAATAATTGTATTTGTTTGCAAATGAATTCATATCTGAAGAGGTGTACTACTTTGCAAAGGGAATGGAAATGCAGGGAATAATATATAGACTGGCTCTTTCAAAGAGATAAATGATTAAGCTTCATAGATAGCAAAATTAACATTCATTCTGCACCTTGATATATGAAAATAGGACACAGACATGACCACAGCCATTCTTTCAAATTATTAACATCAGGAGCAACTCTGATTCCAAAGTGTTAAAGAAATATTAATCTCATCCTTTAAAGAGGGAAAAAAAAGTGAATTTACTTAGTTTCATCTCATAGCATAATATTTTATCTTTCAATTATCTATCTTGCAAAATTATTTTAAAATACCAAACTTATGTAAGTGAAATACATGCAAGAAAATTTTCTTGCAAAATACTTCAAGAAATGCAAAATTGTCTTATATATAAGGCCATCTTATATTTGCATTCAGTATTATTATGCATCTTATATTTGCATATTCAGTATAATTATTCTTTTTTAAATTTGCAGCATCCTGCTGTTACTCAAGAATATTTAATTCAAACTCAGGCATTTTCTCTGAGAAAAAGTTAAAATAATATTTCAATATAAAAAATTAATTTCAATTAAACAGAAGAATACAAACCTTTAATGTGTTATCAATAGCTGTCAGATCATCATGATAAAAGTTTTCAAAATCATTATGGCTAACTAGAGATGCCATACGTCTTTTATGCACATATCGCAGCACAACAATGACGATGGCAAGAACGACGCATAAGATAACAACAGGGCATAGTATGTAGAGAAGAATTTTAACAATATTATCTGTATTTGGATCATCATCAGAAGCTGCAAAATATTGTGAAATATATTAAAAAATATTAAATTAAAAAAGTTCATAACAATAATTGAAACTGCCATGAATCTACTAGTAAATTATGAAAAATGACTGAACAGGTACTAACACAAATGTTTACAAATGTATTATACCAGCTAACCAGAAAGCCCATGGAAAGTTTTTTTTAAATAATAGATACTTAAACAACTGGAGAAATTTTACTTCACTATTTCATTACACATACAAGTCTTCATTATCTAAACTTTTCTTTATTAAGATGGAATTTGTGAATTCCTCTTTTTATAAAATATTTAGCCTTTACAAGCAAAAAAAACAGCAACTTCAGCTGAAATAGTAGAACTCTTTGTATGATTGTCATCACTAAGAGAATGTAATAACTGTTAGGAAAAATGCGAGAATAGAGGATGAACTTTGGCTACTTAAATGTGAGAACAAAGGATGAACTTTGGTTCTTTTCTTAGAATAATGGCTCATTGCTATTTTTTTTTTTTTTAATCTGAAATGGTTCAGATTTTAATATGGCACAAAAAAAGTTTTTCTCCACTCTTCTGACAATGGATGTTTTAATTGTTTATTTCCTAGGTTATTTGGTTTTTAGACAGATCATCATCCCGATTTCATTTGTTGTAATTGTGCAATTTTCTCTGTCATTTTCCATGAGATAAAAGCTTTTCAGTCAACCAATGTTGGGGCATCTCTTTAGTTGAAAACCGATATGACACAAAAGTGATTTGATGAAAAATTAAGATTCAATATTAATAGAATTTTTGGCTTTAAAAAAATAAAAATAATAAGTGACCACTCCCTTTCTTAGAAAAAACATGACATATTCCATTAAAAAAATCAGTTTTTATGTTTGAGAACAATGCAAAAAACTTCTGTCCCTATAGCATTACTGATAATAGCACTCCATGAACAAGTGACACCAACCACAAAAGTAGACAGCACATTCTTTTCATTCTATATGCATTTAAAATTTTGATACAGCAACAATTTTATATTAACACTATGTACTAAATGATTTGATTTGACCTATTACTTTATCTGGCATCTCAATCATTAAAAAGCACAAGAAAGAGATAAGCTAATTCCAAATTTGAAATCATGAAAAATTCAACCTTATTCTCACACTATTATATAAAAAACTCATGTTCAAAGAATGCAATTGAAATTTCAATAAAATGCAATTTTGCTAATTTTAAATCTCAATTTTATTAGCACATCTATCAGAGTTTTCAGCAGAGTTGTAGGAGCATCAGAATAAACAGAACTATGCTCCTACAACAAATTACATCCTCAAGTAGGTACAAATTAATCCTTAAGTAGGTAGTACACTGCACAAAAAAAGGAGGGAGAGGCAGTTCTATATTGATGTCTTGAAAGCACGACTTAGGATATGTACTAGATTTATATATAGCATTGTTCTAATATAGGTATTTTGATACAAAATCAAACTTTTTCTGAAATGCTATGCCATTTTTTTTCCATATTTTGAGATTTTACAACTCAAATTATGCCAAAGCAAATTTAAAAATCGCACAAGTAGTTTTTAAAAAATTAGCTCTGAAACTTTAGCTCCTCATGCTCAATGGAATTTGATATTATAAAATATCTCTCTCTCTTCTTTTTTTTTATTTTTTTCTTTTTTTTTTTTGTATTAAATTACTCTATTCCTTCTTCCAGAATTCGATTTAGGTCTTCCAGATAAAATTCACCCCTTTTTTATGATTATTTAAATAATTTTTATAAATTTTTGAAAAATTTTTTAATTCTAACCATAAAATTTTACCATCATCTTAAAGTAGATGAATTTTTAAGTATACCTGCAAAAAAATTAAAGTTCTATTCAACATTCTGTGAATTTACATACTGGCGCATTTTGAAATTTGGTATATTTGTTGAAAGCGATAATAACACCAAATGCGATATAAGCACTTTGATAAAAACTATTTGAAAGTATTATCAAAGTGACTATTTTTCCTCTCAACCACAATGTAAAAAGGGAAAGGAAAATAGGTTGCCGTATAAATTAAGAAGTTTGCCAAGTGAATTATTCCTGGCGCAAACTGAAATAAATGCGACAATATAAATTTTTAAATTTCTCCATAAATTTCGCACTAAATTTTACAAAATTTAATATTTAGGTGTAATTTGAGTCATAGAATAGAAATATGGAAAAAAAAATGGGATGTTATTTCAGAAAAAGTCTGGTTTTGTGTCAAAATACTTATATTCGAACAGTGCTATATATAAATTTAATATATATCCTAAGTCGCATTTTAGAGACATGAAAAATATGATTTGAATTTCGGCAACCAACCCAGAGTTCGTACACATTTTTGCACAGTACTTTTAAGGACCATTAATGAAAAAAATTAAGGGCCTATGAGCAAATGGGAACTGAATAAATTCAATTAAAAATATTTTCTATGCCTGAATTTCACTTTTGCAATACCATCCTAAAAATAAAATAGATCACTAAGTATTTATGCACTATTACTAAACATAAATTAATTAACATAATTATTAATAAGTTGAGAATAAAATAAACTTATGCAATTATCAAGTAGCATTAATATTTACATTATAATAGTGGACATAGTTGAAAGAAGATATGCGACATTACGTTTTACTAACAGTTAGCTTTACGTTAATTATTTTTATGTCTCATTTGTCACAACTAGTCAGTCTAGAGGTTTAGTAAATAGCAGGAAGATTTTATGTCAAACAGCATAGGTTAAAATGGGGTACACTCTAATATACGCCCTAATTTTACCAAATGTGGCGATATGTAATCTGCACTGGTTTTTGGCACGATTGTGTGTCCTATGGCAACCCTGTTAATGTTGAAAAATCTTTCGCTGGAGCTCGTTGATTCGCCTCTGTGTCTGAGAAAATCCCCGGAGGGAAAGATAAAATGGTAGTTGTTGAATTGAAGTTCGGCAAAAGAAATATCTCGGGTATCCTGTGAGGGTAGTGGGTATTTGGAAGTGTGGAAAGAGGGTCTGGGAGATTATTTTAATGGTTGGCATGATAGAAGTAGGGATTTGTGATGTTATTTTTGTGAACCATAAGATAAATTTTCTGGATAGTGTGTCTGGCTGTCATGTAAATACGATATGATACATGGCGGCATGTTAAAGCGGTATGAATTTATTTGCTATTCGAAAACGCATTAATTCATGGTAAGTGCATTTATTTTATCCTTGTCTTATTTTGTAGAATGTTATGCTCATTGTTTTTTTACTATAAATTTATGTTGTTATTGTAGTTTTTTGAATTATTTGTAATTTATTTTATTTATTTTGTTGATTTGTGCGCAATGTCTAGATTGTGCAATTCGTAGATGTTTTTTTAAGTTTTAACAGAAGGTTGTGTACATGGTATTCTTTGAAATTTATTCTTGTTATGTTAATTTATTAAAGGGAGGTGTGCGTAGTTCGTAGATTCCTTTGTTGGCTATATTGTGCAATTCGTAGAATTTTTTTTTAAGTTAAACAGGATGCTGTACATGGTATTCTTGAAATTTATTGTGTGTGTAATTTATTAAAGCGAGGTGTGCGTAGTTTGTAAGGATTTGTCAAATATTTTTGGTTAGAAACTTTACGTTTTTGCTATCTAAATTTTTGTTTTGTTTCGGATCTTTAGCTAAATTGTGTGTTCAAAACGTAGTTTTTGCATGTGCGAAAACCACGTTTTGGGAGACATTTTAGGCTTAAGTTCAAAATGTAGACAAAAAATTTAGATAGTAATATGGCAGTGTAAAGTTTCTCGCCAAAAATATTTGGCGAGAAATTTGGCGACTAGAGGGCACATATCAGAGTAGTTCCAAAATGAGAATTAAGATCATTACCAGCATGATTCATAACAAAAGACTGAATGTTATCCTCACTGCTGCTGCTTGTCTAAAGAGAGACTTGCTGATAAGAACAAACCTGAAAGGCCTGATGTAGACACGGTTTACAAGTGTTGAAAGTTAGTCAGGCTCTGTTTGATGCAGTTAGCATCGTAGCTCTGTGTAAAGTTCCAGAGGTTGTAACCCAGTTAATATAGTTTAATGTTCCAATAAGCCCTTGGAGCACCAGAGGTGATAAGTTGTTTTGTATTATTTTAAGTCTCACTAGATGCAAAAAAATAAGTTTTACTTGAATTTTTACATTTTTGTGTTTTTATCTTGTGACCACAGTGAGTATTAATGAAGGGCAATAACTCACTTTAATATGTAGAGATAATATTTAAGGGTAAGCAGTTAGTTATAAATAATTAAATTAGGTAATTAGATAACCTTAGTCATTACGGATTTACAAGGCTACTATTAAATTTTATTTTTTGACAATATTTGTTAAAAAAGCCTTATTAAAATAAAAATCTAATAAAATTTCACAGTTTAAAATACATGTAATTTATGACATTGATTCTTAAATGATATTAGGACACATTAAAAGGTACAAAACATTTATGTTTTGTAACAACAACACTCAACAAAATATTTATCTGTCATTTTAATTTGAAGCCTTTCCAAGCATTTTGGCTAGTTTATAATTGATTTCCTTCTCTTTAAGCATCTTTTCTAGCAATTAGATTTCTTGCTAGTTTTCGCGTGCTTTATCTCTTAGCTTGTCAACCTCCCCGCAATGTAGCTATGAGGATTTACTTAATCTGGGGAAAAGTTAAATAGTACAAAACTCCCTGACAACAAATTATCGCCATGTCTGAGAGTAACTACAATATCAGACAAAGGTTTAAATAAGCCTCTTATTTAAAAAGAACTTAGAACATAAAGGCATGTTCTGATGCTAACAAAATCAATTATAGCTCACAGTGACGTGATTAAACAAGAACAGTTCAATTCAAACTAAAAATGTGGACTAGTGGTCAGATTATACAATTTAATTTAAATTTAATCTGGCTCAGTAACTCTATCATGTGAGGAAATAGAAATGGGAAATTATAGTAAAGGCTGAAATCATAAACAATTGGGTAATTTACATAATAATAACTGCAGCACATATCTTTGAAGAATAATTTTCTTTATGTATTCAGTTTCTTTCTTCAACATGTTTCCTTTCCATTTTAGAATTTTTGGATTTAATTAAAGATTTCTGTTATTCTAAAAAACACTAGAAGCATTTAGAATGCGTAGAAAAAGTGGCTAATTTTATTTCTTTAGTAATATGAACATTCAGAAGAAATATGAAATATATATGGTAAAAGCCGGTTACATAGCTGGTGTGGCAGAATTTTTAGAATTTAGTGACACACTGTAAAACAAAATCTAGAAATAGCAAAACTTTTAGAATTTAGAGCAGGCACTGGAAGCAGAATTATCTTTACCAATTATGTAACAGCAAAAAGCCTGAAATATTTTGGAAAAAAAGAGAGGGAAAAAGTGTAAAATTAATTTTATAGAGAAAAACTGATGCATATTCTGAGACAATTACATGCGAAAAACTATGAAAAAAATAAAAGACATTTTTAATTAATTACATGGCTAATTTTGCTTTGCTAAGAGCTATTTTGTAAATTGTGCTTTATAGCATTAAACCTTGTTTATTTTTCAGATTCAAAATATTGTATAATAAGTTGCCAAATAAACTTTACAATATGAAGCGAAAAATAAAATGTTTTATTTTAATGTATTTTTAAAATATAATTTCAATATATTACCATTATTTTAATGAAAATTATCAATGTTACGATGTTTAAAAAAAAATCGACGAAAAATTCTGAGATCTCGGAATTAAAATTTGCTATAGAAACTGATCTTAAAATCGGCAAATTTAGAACCATTTAATAAAAGAATTCACATCCCCAAAAGCAAAAAGTTGTTTAAGAGCTCTTTATTAAAAAAATGAATTTCCAAATGCTTATGTTTCACTTCCTGCTTAGAAACTCGAGTATCCCATCACTTATATTAGAAAGATAAACAAATTATAACCCATGAACTCATTCAAAAGATAACCATACATGTCATTGAATCGCCAAAAATATTCCTCCAAAACGCTAATTCATACTCAAAATGGCAGTCATAAAAACAGACAGAAATTTCAGATTAAAATTAAGGACCTTCTGCTGATTTTGGCCAAAATTAAGTACTTTTAAGCACCAAAAATCAATTCCAAAAAATCTAAGGACTTTTAAGAACTTTTAAGGACCATATGAACCCTGTCAACCCAGTAGGACAGGAGATAAGGAACTGTCGCTCCATTTCTTTGCAGACTGGAGTTTTGGTTGCAATTTTCTAAATATTAAGCTTTTTTTTTTTAATCTTTTTTTTTTGGAAAAGAATACAGAAAATGTGTAGTTGAAGAAATTTTTATTATAAGGGTGATATTAGTAAGTTCAAAACGCTATAAAAAAGAAACCACTCATGAAAATGACGTCAAATTTGAAAGGAATGTTATTGAAGAAGGCGGAAAGCGTATGGCAGAAGAAAAAATTTAGTTTCAAAAGTTAGCAACAGATGGCGCTGCAAGCGGAAGAAGACGTAAATTAAAATGTTAGTTAAATTTCAGTGTTATAAAGCCGCCAGGTACCAGGCTGTTCCTCATTTCGCGTCTCAGACGTTCGCCATGGGTGTTTCACTGCAGGACCGCGCTCTGCTGGTAAAGCTGTATTACAAGAATGATGATTGTGCAAGAGTAGCTCTGCAAAAATTCAGGACACTGAAGGGTATAAAAGAAGGCGTTGGTCCAATGAGTGTCGTAGGTCTAAAGAAAATGATGCAAAAATTCGAAACGACAGGTTCGTTTGATGTGCAATCTGGTAGAGGGAGAAAACGAGTGCATTCGACGGTAGTTGAAGAAGTGGCCACAGCATTACAGGAGGGGTCGGCCGGTGGTGTGCAACCGTGCAGTGCACGAGGAATTGCCCGAACATTGGACAGGCCTACGAGAGCACGGTGCTGAAAATTGTACGAAACATCCTGCAATGCTATCCGTACAAAATTGGCCATGTGCAGGAGTTGCTTCCGTCTGACCTGACAGCTAGGGAGACGTTTGCGTTAGAATTCCTGGCTCGCATGGAAGTGGATAATGAATGGCCGTGGAAAATTTTGTGGACAGATGAAGCCCATTTCCATCTGACAGGATACGTGAATACCCAGAATTGTCGAATATGGGCAACAGAAAATCCACTGGCAACGCACCCCGTACCACTTCATCCTGAAAAGGTCACGGTATGGTGTGGCTTTACGGCATCATTCATCCTACAACCATATTTTTTCGAGCAGACGGGTGCTTCCGGTCCTGTTACCGCAACCGTCACTGGTCAGAGGTATGCGTCTCTTTTGCGCAACCACGTGATTCCAGCTCTGCAACAGCGTGGATGTGTGGATGAATGAAATCATTTTTATGCAAGATGGCGCTCCTCCGCACATTGCACATCCCGTGAAGCAGCTGCTGAGGCGCCATTTCGGAAATGCTCGAATTATCAGCCGTCATTTCCCTACAGCCTGGCCGTCCCGATCGCCTGATCTTACTCCGTGTGATTTCTGGCTGTGGGGATATCTGAAGGATGTTGTGTTCCGTGCTCCAATTGCAAATTTAGCGGAATTAAAGGCACGCATTTCGCAACACATTCTGAACATCACCCCGGAGACACTGCGATCCGTTGTGGAACATGCTGTTTGTCGCTTTCAACTTGTTGCACACAACGGTGGACACCATATTGAACATGTTTTGCGCCAGTCTCGCGACAGTTCCGAACTTCTTTGATGAATGGTTCTTATGCGGTATGTCGCCGCAAAACTCTTGAAACCGATTTGTCCCTTTCGATGTGATATGTACAGTCATGCAAATAAAATTATTCAACAATTCTCAATGCGTTTTAATGTGTAACTTCCACCTTAGCCGTTGTTTTACGAATCATTTCTCGTTTCTCGTGATTCTGCCGCTTACAGCGCCATCTGTTGCTAACTTTTGAAACTAAATTTTTTCTTCTGCCATACGCTTTCCGCCTTCTTCAATAACATTCCTTTCAATTTCACATCATTTTCATCAGTGGTTCTTTTTTTTATAGCGTTTTGAAACTTAAACTTTAATTATAATCACCTGTATATATATATCATAATACATAGATAAAAAAAATGCAAATAGGTTATATTAATTATATGGTCTCTTAATCCCATTTTTATTGAGATTTGTTCTCTATCTAAATAATAGTAACATTCTGGACTGTGCCATTTCTAGATTAATCTATGCCACAGAGCTTGCATAACAGTGATGACAAAGCCTAACTCTGAAGCTTTCGAAGCCTAAACTCTGAGAACTGAAACTTTTGGCATAGTTATTTCAGAGCCTTAACTCTGAGAACTGAAACCTTTCTCTTAACAGACTACCATATTGGATAAATACACACTTAACTTCTCTAACTGTGCTGTTTGAATGCTCTCTTCCTATCCCAATATTATTCAAAAATTAAAATGTTCTGGAAATAGGCACAATTAAAGTGCCAAGTGAACTGTTGCCACAAATGTCAATTTAAATAAAAATGGAATTTAATCTGCCTTCACTGCCATGTTTCCCATTCATTACGAATTAGCTAGCACTCTACGCAATCAAAATTCCTCCTCTCCAATATGGATTTACATTCTACACCTCAGCATTGCTACGTCTTTTTCTCCTTTTCTAATCACACACACTATATATAGCAAACTCTGACTAAACAGAATTTTAGACAGTTAAAATATAAAAGAATTTTTCTTAAAAGCAAAATATTCAAAAAGTGATAAATCTGAAACCTTACTTGTAAAAACACGGGGAGGCAAAACAGGAAAAGAGCCGTTGTTACATAAATCTCCTTGGCAACAGAACAAACTATACTTTGCAGAGTTAGGTTTTTCTGGTGCATATTCTTTGGTGGAACACATAAAAGACTGATAATCAGTTTTAGATGCACATCCCTTTTGTAAGGTGACGGCTCCAAAGGTATCAATCACAGTGACACTATAGCACTACAATGAAGGAGGAAAAAAATTATAATGAGATAAAGCAGATATTTATAATGTTAATGTTTTTAAACACAGGCTTTCATACTAATCAAATTTTATTTAAAAATAGAAAAAAAAAAAAAAAAAAAGTTACATGATGCTTTGTAGAGGAGAAAAAATTTTAACTTTCTGAATTAAACACTTTTAGCCCATTTCAAACATCTGCTGATAAATATCAGAATATACAATGGATCAAAATTAAAGGATAATGACAGAAATAAAACGTAACTGATACTTAATGAAAAATTATTGCAAAAGCATTAATTAACATCAATTACGTTTGGCAGTTGATTATTCACAAAATATTGAAATTAAAACCAAATTTATGGAAAAATTAAGTCACCTCTTGTAGAAAACATTTTTTCTTTAACATGGTGTACTGTCACCTTGGACAGATATGGACCTCAAATCTTGATTTCATAGACTTTACCAAGGTTTTGATCAAGGTCTTGTGGAACTGTATGCTACTTTTCTAGAAGTGCACGTTTCAGCTCCTGGAGGGTCCGGGAAGAAATTTGGCACACAGAAATTCAGTGTTCTAAAGCATCCCACACATGCTGAATCAGATTCAAATTAGGCGAGTAAAGTGGGCAATTCATTTGAGTTATATTTTCTGTTTGCAAGCATTCCAACACCACATATGCTCGATGAGGCTCAGCATTGTCATCCATTAGCGAAAATTCTGCGCCAACAGCACCCCAAAACAGTCTAAATTGAGGTTCCAATTATCTCCCAAGTGGTTACAGAAACTCCTTGAAAGATATGCAGCATGGTGCAGCTATTTGTCCTTATTTCTCCCGAAACATTAAGCCGTGGTCACGAAATGGGATACTTCACACACAAGGGAAGGCATGTTGCATGTTTCTTCCTCACTCCGAATCAAAACTCATCTAGAATCACTGTTAAGACTATATCTGGACTTGTCAGTAAAAAATACTCAAGCCCAGCTTACTTAGTTACATTGAATATGACAATGACACTAGTTTAAATAAGCTCCTCTGCAAGCTGGAGTGAATAGGACAAAACCCGATTTTCTTGCATACAATCCAACTTCGTTAAGACTCCATGCAGTGGTACAATGGCTAATTTGAGTTCCCGTGTGGCTCCTTTGCGCTGATGACAGAAAACGGTCTTCTAATTCAGTTGTTGCTCTTAGTCGCCCTTGACCAGGCTGTCTATCAGCTGACCCAGAGCCTAAAAAGCAAGCAGTTCCGAACTATCGATATGACACTTCCTTTAATGGATATTCAAATCATGGGCAACCTCCCTTTGTGTTTGACATCTTTTGAATCTACCAACTATTTGCCACTTTTGACATTCACTTAAATTAAGCTTTTGAGCCATAACTATTAAATACTGATCACTCTCAGACACCACATTCGCTTTAAACAACACTACAAACCGGAGTTCCAACATGTGTCCATTGCGCACCACATTGTCAATCACCGAGTTAGCATATTTCTGGTACTAACACATGTGCAGAAGTGCAATCTTTTGTTCAATTTGTATTTAATTAACATACATAATTACAGTATTCGGGAGAATATTTTTAGTGAGAATATTTTTTCTCATTATCCTTTAATTTTGATGACCAGTGTGTGTGTGTATATATAAAATAATAATAAAGATGATCATAGGAGAACAGAATAATTACCTCTAAGGCATTATCACATGTAGTGACCTTGTCACAAGCTCCTTCACAGTTATAGCATGTATAGCGGGTTGAATTTTTTGATGTCGCTACTGCTTCTATAAATAAGATAAAGAAAATCTCAAGATTCTGCCCAAATTTTTGCTACTTCCATACATTTATTAGCAAGTTGATTTACATATACAATACAATGTCCAAAATTTGAACATCGAATATTCACACCACCAGAAAGAAAAGGGAGTTCCCCTCTCCCCCCTTAATGATGATGATTGATGTTTGCTACCACCACAGCCCTCTAGTGCTTATGGAGGGGAAAAGGTCAACATTTTTCTATTTAATCTAAACAATAAGTAAAGATGGAGTGAGATATTCATACTAGTTTCCTTTTGCTAGCACAGCAATGAGGAAGGGAGAAAAATTAAAATCTTAAGTTCAGTGAATATTGCAAATTGCACACTCCCTTAACTTTTAATTTTATCCAGCTTATTATATTTTGCAGGCTATTATTATTTTAGCTACCTTATCAAAATTAAGATTTGAATTTTTAATTATCTGGAGCTGCAGCAGGATCTGCAAAGGGAAAGCATGTGTCAATGTCAATCAAACCAAAGGTGGAATAGAAGCATAAAGTGCATAAAAGTACTTCTGTCTCAAAACTACGTGATAAATAGGACACTGGAAAAACAGAAAAATGGAACTTTCTGTGTATTCTGAAATCCCACTCACAATAAATAACAGAAAAGTAATCTATTATGTTAAAAAAGATGATCATGACAAAATAATGATTGGATAGAGTATGTCCCAGCTTTTGGCCAGTGGCGGATAGGGCCGGCGGCCGACTGGCAGTAGCGATTTTGGGCCGATCAATTAACTCGAATGATCGAATTCACACAGATGACTTGGCAATATAATAATCTAGAAAGGCTGGGTTGTGATATAATTATAGAACTACCAGTTAGAAGATGCCCTAAAGTGAAACAAATAGACGGCAAAAAATCGTCCGACTATAATTTCAATTGCCCTATCAAACAATTTGAAGTTACCGTCTTTAATTATATAATGAATAATACCATTTCATTGATGGAAAGTAGGTATAAAGGGTATAGGAAAGTTGTATGAAGACATATCCCTTTGTATTAGTGCTTCATTAATTTATCGGTACTTTTCCGTTTCGCCGGCGCAAATATCGCCAAGCAGACTTTGTTGGCGACAACATACAGTATACATATAAAATTAACAAATGTTAGTTCTAAGAATTTTTTATTTTGAAGGCATAAAAATTTTAATATCATTTAAAATTTTGTAAAAAACCAATAAATAAAGACAATAAATTTGCAAAAAGACATTAATTTAAGAATTTACTTTACTATGCTTTCATGATTCAACATCCTGATTCTCCGCTTCATATCACGTGACCCCAAGTAATGTCATCTCACGTAAACTACGCTACAAAATCTAATTCTCTCAGTAATTATGTACATTAATTTTAAGTTACATCTTAATTTGGAATACAAGTTTAAATGCAAGAATTATTTCAATTCGTACGAATAGCTTACTCAGAAATTATGTCAAACTGCAGTGCTTTACTTTGCTAGTGCATTCTCATTCGAATTGATGAATATACCCTTGATTTTGCCTTTTCTATATTTTCGCCTTGGGTGAGCGGTGTGATTGCATCCTAATTAACTTAATTATCGCGAATGGTTTTAGGGCATAAAATTTAATTGTTTTTGTAAAATTTCTATGTAATTGTATGCCAGTATTGAAAAAAAATCAATCTGGTAAGAAATGGCTGCGACTTGTTTTGAAAATGAGGCATAAAAGGTTATCAGCGAAGATGTTCGGTTTGGCAATCTGTTGTACCATTATTGGTGACTTTATCGTTTGCGCCGGCAAAACGGAAAAGTACCAATTTATCTTTTACAATCCTTTCAATATCAACATTAATATTAGTTGTTGCCAGATGCAGTGCATGAGTAAGTAAGTTATCCAACAGTGAAAATCTATATTTAGATTTTATAAAATTCATCGTGGAATATGCACTTACACAAAGATAGGTACTGCCCATCATCGAACCCATTTTTTAAGTCAAGACTGGTTAATTTGGGGAAACACTCGCCAAGGAGCTGAAAAAAATCTATTCCAGACTCTGTTCTGCCCTTGTAAAAAGGTACATCCTTCAAAATTTTCCATCTCTGCGTAAAGTTCTTTGCAACTCGAAAAAAAAAAAAATTATTCTGCTTTAGTGACATTTTGAACAATTTTAGTTTACCTCTAAAACCATTCACACATCCTACAAACTTTCTGCGTATGCGCATAATACCTTTACACACGTGCATATGCGTTTACGCATGCGAGTTTAATGTATAACGGACGGTATGAGCTAGGCTAAAATTATCTAATTATCTATTTCAGTTAATGTTGCAGATTGCGTTGTTCCTTAATCTTCTAATTGGATGCGGCTTATTATTTTTTGCAGACTGTTAGAGCAATTTTATAAAATGTAAGCTTGAACTTTCGATTATGTCAAAAAGAGTTTCCGATTCTGGAGCTGCCAAAGGATCTACAAAGCAAAAGCATGTTTCGATGTCCATCAAACAAAAAGTGGAATTGCTGCAAAAATGCATAAAGGCATGAAGAAAGTGACAGAGAGGTTAGTGAACAGGGGCATAACTAGAGGGGAGCAAGGGGGTATCTGTCCCCGGGCACAGAATCCAAGGGGCGCCAAACTGATGTTACGAACTTTTAGAATTAAATGTTTTCCATCCTTGGCAAGCAATAGGGGGTGCGAAATCTTCAGTTTGTCCCTGGGCGCTGAAAACCCTAGCTACGACTCTGTTAGTGAAAAAGATGAAATGACATAAAACTGAATCATATTTTTAATTTAGTCACTCCTAAAAACAACAAATTTCTATGAAATATACACTCAATCCACATTGCAATTTTTTCTTTTTAATTACTCCCAACGTATGGTTAAACTTTGCTCCGTCTTAAAGTTCAAGTTGGTATGTTTCTCTAACATCTGTTAAATTAGGATATTATAAATTGGCATAAAAATTTAATCCCTTGCAGTTTTTATTATCACAAAAGCAACATTTGTTTAGCATTTGCAACATATTTTCTTTTTTCCAAATGCTTTTAAAAAGGAGAAACATGCAACTTGATAACAAGATCCCTTATTTTACATATGATTTTCTCTCTGAAATAATATTGTGAAAAGACGTATTTATACCTTACCTTTATATAATATATTTTAACCATATCATCAGAAGATTAGCTATATATCTTCAATAACAGATATGTACTACTAAACATGTTCATCACTCAGAAAAATATTACTTTTTTTTTTTTTTTTCTTTTTTTAATCGACCATTTTTTAACTAACATTACTATTAATATCTGTGGTTAATTTAATTTCAATCAAAATTTCTTGAATGTAGCTCCATTCCATTTCCAGACACTAAAATTTTCAGTCATTCTGATTGAAATGATATTAATAATAAGTGAAAATATTTTATTTACATATTTTTTAGAAACTTGCCTTCAGAAATAAAATTATGTACACATAAATTAAAGTCATATACGTATAGTTATAACATATACACATAAATTAAAGTCAAATAACAACTTCAGTGTTTATTCGAGTCTGAAAATTATCTCCTATTCTGTCTGTGGGTACAACAATCAATTTCTGTTGACAAACTTTTTTTTTTTATTTCTTTCGGTATTTTGTTTACTAAAGCAATACACAAGCACCTAAAATCAAATATTATTTATTAGAATGAATGATTCACATGAACTAAATATCAACATCATCCAAAAATGACAAAGGTAAGAAATAAATGAAGTCAAGATATCATTCTTCACTTACGTGCAGTAAGAGGAAAGTTTGTAATTCCCGTACATATTATACAAAATAATACGCGGTAAAACCTTGAAAATTCCATCCGCATTTTAAAACGAATCGTTTTTTCCAAAATAAATATAATGCATACTTAGAAAGTATGAGGCGCAAACAATAAATACATCTTATAATACCAAACAAACAGTTTTAAAGTGAAATAACAGTAATATCTGACAGCTTACCACTTCAGGTAAGCCATCAGCGACGTGCTTTACGATCGAATAAATATTTCAACAACCACTTCAAAGTATTAACAGTTACAGTTATTAAAACGTGGGAATCCCTTCATTTTCTTTTTCGTAATATTTTGCTGTCTTACACCTTGAATGAATATATGCAAATAACAATCACAGTGTAATAAAATGCTATTAAATACTTTATATTTGTGAAAAGGAAACAGAAATTTCAAAGTATTTTAAAATATAATTTACTATTAACATTACTGACAAGCATTTAGGAATAACTGAAATTTTCTTTCAGAAAATGTGGAAAAAATGTTCTCTTCAGCCTTAAAAATGATACTCAGAGTGCTTTAAAATAAAGACCATCTAAAATATAAAGGTGAGAGAAAAAACAGTATTTAAACTTGTGTTACGAATTTGGCATTGCCGTTGCACTATTTTCGCATTGTAAATCCTCGTGCAAATTGGAAGGTGAGTGCTTTGCTTAGTAAATTAAAATTTTGTTTATTAACATTGTATCTTTATTAACTTGGATCAATTCATTTCTGCTTTTCAGCATTCATGTATTGTTTACATATTCTTATAAATGGATGTTGTTTGTATTTTAAGCCGGCTCCGTGTACACTTTAAGTAGTAGTTAGAATTAATGCCTTTTCCACCTCTTTCTTTGGATGGTATTTTGTGCTGTTACATTCGGCCGATTAGTTAGATGGCTTTATTTGCAAAAAAGTACCCACAATTTAATAAGATTACATCTCTTAGCAGTTAATCGGTCTGGGGGTGAATTTTTCCCTTTAAAAATATTACTTCAAAACATCATGTATCTTATATGCCATTCAACCGTCAGGGGATTTAGTATTGTAGGATTCTGGGTTGATCTTTGGATTATGGTAACAACTGCTACAGCAACCCTCTATTTTGTTTTTTCCGCCGCCATTTTGTCTTCACGAAATAAAGACATGTTTCTTTTCTTTTTATATACTCAACACTTTTTCCAACAATCTACTAGCCGAATTACACTTATGCTAGAAATTTTATCTAACAAAACTGGGTTTAATCCTAGTATCCGGTGCGCACAGGATTTGGCGACTTTATGATGAGAAGTAAAAGCCAGACATATACGATGAGTAGTTAACCGCTCATTCAAAGAAAATATACAGTTAAACATAGTATATACTATGTGTGTATATACATATACTATGTGTGTATAGTATATATATATAGACGTTCTTTGAATCATTTTTGGTGTTGGCGATAATTTTCAAAGTCACGCCAAGGCTGCACCGTATACTAGGATTTTACCCAAAACTGCTTAATCATGACAAATATTCACTGCAAAATTGGGAAAAAGTGCACAATAGCAAACTCCTTGCGCGTTTTTCAGAATAACACATACACATGAACCATGTACACGTCGACTTATTTTTACTTAAAAAAACATCCCAGAATTGCACAAAAATGGCATTGCGCACACTCTTCTCTATATCCATGTACACTGCTTTTTTCTCATAAATTAGAAAAATTTCACGAAAATGCATGACAATTTTCTGAATCTTTAAACCTGGTAAAAAGAACATATATGAAAATACCTGATCGCGAAAATGTTTATACCCTTTCCAAATATGAACATTTCCACGTATAAAATAAATAAAATATCCAAAAACTTTACCTCTAAATTATCTATTGTATTATAAAAACGTCACCAACGAATTCATACCGCAAAACATTACAAATACTTAGTGTCAAATATTTAAATTATTTCCATGCACGTTTACTTCAACTGAAACGTATACCAAATTCCTACAAACATAAAATTCACAAAATAACTATCATTTAATTAAAATATCACTAAACCATGTACACGTCGACTTATTTTTACTTAAAAAAATCCCAGAATTGCACAAAAATGGCATTGCGCACACTCTTCACTATATCCATGTACACTGCTTTTTTCTCATAAATTAGAAAAATTCACGAAAACATGACATTTTGAATCTTTAAACCCTTAAAAGAACATATATGAATTACCTGATCGCGAAAAAGTATATACCCTTTCCAAATATGAACATTTCCCGATAAATAAATAAATATCGGCTTCTTTACAATATGGTAACTGGTAGTTTGGCGACATTTTGGAGGCGATAAAGGTTACTACCTGGGACTTTGGTAATAATGTGAGCAGTACTCAGTTCCGATTACGCATTATTTTGTGTGAGGGAAATGAGAGATCATGGGATATGTCATGTGATATTAATGGACGAATTACGGTTCTTTAATCGGAAAAGGGGGGAAATCGGGAAAAATCTGGAAATTTTGTATTTGGCTTTATTCTGTGTTGTGTGAAACAGTGTTCGTTAATTTTTGGATCCCATGGCCCTAAATAAAGTGAATTCGAAATGGGTATTTAGTGGTATTGAAAGGGTAGTAATAAGTGTTTCTTTAAGGTGTGCGAGAGATGAAGTAAAGATGTTTTATTAAGTTATTTATTTTACCTGGTACCTTGTTTTGTGAACTATAAGTATGATTTTAAAGATCCTGAAACAGAAATAAGAAAAGTTTATCGGACACGTAATCAAGATTCTGAAGAAGAATAGGTAAGTTAGTATTTTTAATTATTTGAGGATATTATTTTTATGCATTGTTCTAAATGTAAGGTGAAAGTAAAGTATTTGCGTAAACGTGCATGGAAATAATTTAAATATTTGACACTAAGTATTTGTAACCATTTGTAATGTGCGGTATGAATTCGTTGGTGACGTTTGTAATATAATAGATAATTAGAGGTAAAAGTTTTTGGATATTTTATTTATTTTATATGTGGGAAATGTTCATATTTGGAAAGGTATTACTTTTCGCGATCAGGTAATTTCATATATGTTCTTTTTACCGGGTTTAAAGATTCAGAAAATTGTCATGTATTTTCGTGAAATTTTTCTAATTTATGAGAAAAAAGCAGTGTACATGGATATAGTGAAGAGTGTGCGCAATGCCATTTTTGTGCAATTCTGGGATGTTTTTTTAAGTAAAAATAAGTCGACGTGTACATGGTTTAGTGATATTTTAATTAAATGATAGTTATTTTGTGAATTTTATGTTTGTAGGAATTTGGTATACGTTTAAGTTGAAGTAAACGTGCATGGAAATAATTTAAATATTTGATACTAAGTATTTGTAATGCTTGCGGTATGAATTCGTTGGTGACGTGTATAATATAATAGATGATTTAGAGGTAAAAGTTTTTGGATATTTTATTTATTTTATATGTGGAAATGTTCATATTTGGAAAGGGTATAATACTTTTTCGCGATCAGGTAATTTCATATATGTTCTTTTTACCGGGTTTAAAGATTCAGAAAATTGTCATGTATTTTCGTGAAATTTTTCTAATTTATGAGAAAAAAGCAGTGTACATGGATATAGTGAAGAGTGTGCGCAATGCCATTTTGTGCAATTCTGGGATGTTTTTTTAAGTAAAAATAAGTCGGCGTGTACATGGTTTATGTGTATGTGTTATTTTGAAAAACGCGTAAGGAGTATGGTATTGTGCACTTTTTCCCAATTTTGCAGTGAATATTTGTCATGATTAAGCAGTTTTGTTAGATAAAATTTCTAGCATAAGTGTAATTCGGCTAGTAGATTGTTGGAAGAAGTGTTCAGTAGATAAAAAGAAAAGAAACATGTCTTTACTTCGTGAAGACAAAATGGCGGCGGGGAAAAAAAAAAGAGGGTTGCTGTAGGAGAGTTGGTCGCCAAATTTTCGCCAAAAAAACGCCAAGTTACCATAATGTAAAGATCAACCAAATATCAAACTTTTCCTCTAATTTGTATTACTACAAATTCCAACAATTATACCGCCGCAATGTACAATACTTAGTACAAATTTTAAATTATTCCATGACGTTTATTCCCACTAACTATACAAATTCTACAAACATATAATTCACAAAAGAACTATCATTTAATTAAAATATAATTAAGTTCAAAAACCTACTTAAAATATAAATAAGCACATACATTAAATTAATAAAAATTAGCTTACAATCCTAATTACTTTAAACTAAATCATTGCTAATAACAATTTTCCAATAATACCAAATTACTTTACTTCCACCTTAATTTAGAACAATGCATAAAAATAATATCCTCAATAATTAAAAATACTAACTTACGTAATCTTCTTCAGAATTTTGCTTACGTGGTGGATACACTTTTATTAATGGATTCAATAAAATTATTGAAAGATTTTTTCTGCGAATTTTTCCTCTACACTTCCTTTGCTAAATAAAAAGCAAAATTCTCTTTATCACAATGTTCTGTTCCACTTTATGCCGAATGGTAAGATTATGTGCGTATTTTATCTTCGGAATGGTGCTTTTTATAGCACTACACGTGCCCTTGATTGAACTGGTATGTGCACCTGTTTCAGGATCTTTAAAATAATATTAGACAGCGCCTACAATCCGAAAATTATTCAACACTACTTCACACAACACACAATGAAGCTTAATACAAAATAATATACTGCCACAGATATTTTTCCAAATCCCCTCCTTTTTCCGATTAAAGAACTGTAATTCGTCCATTAATATCGCATGACATATATCACATGACTCATTTCCCTCACACAAAATAATGCGTAATCGGAACTGAGTACTGTTCACATTATTACCAAAGTCCTAGGTAGTAACCTTTATCGTCACCAAACTACCAGTTACCATATTCCAAAGATCAGTCGGATTCTGCAGTGGAAAGGACGCATGGAAAGATTTGCAAGGAATTTACTTACTGTATGAACTGTATTCGAAGTTTCTTAGAATGCAAAAAATATCCATTCAGATACCCAATTTTTTTTTTTTTTTACAATATCAGATTTGCAATAAATTGACATCATGTACAACTTCAGCACTGAAATCTGAGAATGAGAAAGAAAAAAACAGCGGCACATGATGCCTTTAAGCAACCCACATTATGCTTCATGTGTGTAGAATGAGATTTCACCGGATATTATTAAAACTGCAGTATGCAGTTCACTACTACACTAAAACACCAACATTCCTATAGAAGGGATTCATAATCTGCAGTCACATTAGTGAAAATGTCTGAAGAAGTGGAAAGCTATCTGGGAGATGAATAAATACTTTTTGGCAACATCGTTGGCTGTTGCAGAATTACTTTTGGGGGGACATTTCATTGCCTCATCAGTGCTTTTTTTTTGGGGGGGGGCATTGCAGTAGGAATGGATGTTGATAAAGAAAAAGTACAAAAGAAAAATTGCAATATTTCTTATTTAGTTTATCAGTTGAAAATAAAGCTATATTATTTTCATGCATTTGGTAAAATTAGATAATATGATAAACATAAAATATACATAAGTACAAAATAAATTGTTTTAGCCAACTGGAATCCTGCACTGATGAATTTGCTAGTGTAGACTTGGTGTGGCAGTGCTCTGCCATCTTGATGGCATATAT